CTTGATGCTGTATACAGCCGTCTTATATGTTGTTTGAATCTCGTAGTGACCGGAAAATTGGACAGCAAGGAGGGTGATGTCGAGGATCAGGACTACAATGTTGACGAAGATGAGGTGTCTAAGTAGCTTCTGTAGAGGTCCGCGGCCGTTGCCATCAGTGTCGTTTCCCAGCAAACGTACCGTCTCGTAGATGTAGATGATGGATATTATCAACTCTTGGACGCAGATCACCACGATCTGGACCTTGTCGTATATCAAAAACCCCGGTAGGAAACGAGCCGATTGCTGAGAGTTTGTACCCATCGCTAGAACCAGAAGCGGAATCCCGAGAACGATAGCGTTGAAGATGATCATGTATAGTACCCAACGTGTCTGAGACCGATCTCGGATAACGAGATGCAGGCGCGAATAGAGAACGACAGATTGCCCTATCACCATACATCCCCAGCCTATGCCCACTATCGCGCTCGATAGCAGGTCTAGTGTGGTAACCTGGAAGAACTTCAGGATGAATCCAACAGCATGGGGTGCGATACCCCAAGTGGCCACGACAAAACTCCAGAAATATAGCCCGCTACGCTTTTTGAAGATGGCGAAGACGAGAAAGGTAAGTTCGATGACGTTGTACAGCGCGATGGATAAGAATGCTACCATGGTCATGAGGATTGGGAATGATGCATTTACCCCTCCGACCACGCCCACGTCCTGCTCTTTTGCCATGGCTGAACGCGAAGACTGCGTTGTGTTCGCGCATGTGCTTGTTAGAACAACGTCGAGGGGATCGGCGGCTAGGTATGCCCCATCAGCGGAAGGTAGAGAAAGAATCCGCACTGAGAACTAGGTGATTGAGGGCTGTCGCGTTTGGCAGACTAATATCTGCTGCTGAAGGCAATCAGGGGAAGAGGATGAAGGCGAAGTTCGCAGTCCAGGACCGACTACATCTTCCATGGGATCTTTTAGACGTCTTCGCTCACGGCACTTGATGGGCTTTAGATGGGTTTCTAGGATTTGTGGCGCATTCTGGAGGTGTCGCCCATAGCGATGATCTTGTTCACCATAGGGGGACGGAATGAATTCCCCGGCTTAGGTTCAAGCTCTGATTGGCCTGGCAATTGTGTCCAGGTGCAAGCGGGCTTTCATTGGCCTTGTGCAGATGTCACGCCTGAATGCCAGGATTGGTGGCGCCATAGCTGCATGTCTTCGCGCGAGGCTTCCAAGGTTCACCTGTCTGTCCAAGCCTACTAGTACAAGGGATGACTCGCATGAACCGCTCCTCTTCATAGCAGACTGCATTTTGGCAACGTTATCACACTGTTAGCTGACATTGTTCACCGATCAAGACTCACGACTTTGCGAATAAACTTCGACTAGTGATGGGCTGACGCGCAATCAGTGTGATCAATCGATTGACACTTACTCGGCTTCAGCCGCATGGGTCCTTATCCGGATCCATGGGTGTAGACGGGCGGGTTTTACGCCAGATCAAGCCTTCCGGCCCTATGTCACCGAGAGATCGGAAATGACATTTTCTTATTTCCTCAGTTCCTAGCGCACGTTCAAGTCCCCAGCGCTACAGTCGATATGATTCGGATACAAATGCCGAGTTGTTCCTGCATAGAAACGTGGTTTCGAGCCATCGAAGCAGCAGCTGAATCAGCTGCCCTGCCTGCCTGCCTTGGAGCAAACGAAAAAGCAAGTGCATAGGGCCCACGCGTATCGACAAGGTTTTCTGGGGTACCGCGCCCCGGAGCATTGGCGGCAAGGAGCGAATAACTGGCGTTGATATTCCCCTGCGCTAGTGCTAGCAAGATCTATCGCCCAACCCAGTCTAGCGTAGGCCCCATCAGTGCCCGCAACTTCTCTGCCGTCTCCGTCACAACTGCCGCTCACTTTTTGAAGCTGCACAACTTAGTCACAACGTTATCGATAGATATTCGTGAGGCTGCTTCACGGAACTCATTCTGTGATCTCGATCCCAGTGTTTTCTTGAATCAGCAACAAGCCGGTCCAGCATATGGTGTACCGCAATCAAAGCTGCAGCACCGGCTCGCTGGCCGCGATCCACACGCGACTGCCCACGACAACGACTGCAATTGACTCTGGAACGAGATGAAATTACTGTTGACTGAACTGTTGATGAAGGGCTATGCGCTCGACCATGTAGTCACAGCTGGTCACAAGAGATGATGTTGTTGCATCGAGAGCATACAAAAGGGGATCGCAGCTTAGTTCAAGTGAGTGCACTCGTGTTTGCCTAAGTCGAGGTTGTAAGAGCTTGGTTATAATGATGCTGCGCGACGCCGCTCGGTTGCAGATGGTTCCAGTATGCCGCGATGCTGATGCCTCAGCCACAGCTGTCAGTCATCCACGATCTTGCGGCCGACTTCGCTGCCATAGCCGACGTTGACGGAGAGCCGTTGCCGGTAGCACAATTCAATGGGCTAAACCACATCTATCCTACCGAAATGCTGGGCGTTTGGGTGCCAGCGGGCCGATTTGGTGAACCTGTATTGGACGGGTTCCGCTCGGCGAGCATGGCGACATAACGGCGACCGCTGTGCCAGGATTATGACTAAATGTGATGCGCTGCATATGAAGGAGCTGGTGAAGACAACTCTGCGGCTCTGTAGATTTGCCACTTTGTAAAATTGGCTGCCCACACATGCAATCATGATGGAATCTTGGATGTCTGGTCATCGGCTAACTACGATACGTCATGGGCCGGACACATGGTGATCTTCTCAAGCTTTGGCTACCGGTACAGGTTCGGAAGCCACGCATCGCTGGAAACAAAAATCTCGCACACGTGATCATCAGTGGTATCGCAACATATTGAGCTTGCTACTAGTGTGCTACTACGAAATGCTTGATGCGAATGCTGTTCTGCCGCTTCGCGACGGACCGGCATCCTTCTCTACTCTTGGATTAGTCACTCAGTCTTCAAATCGCCACTGTCCTCACTCAGACCTGTCTAGGGTCAGATCACGGACAGAGAGAGACGACGAAAAACCCAAGCTTGCAAAACCAGTCATTGCGTGTACAACTGCTCTGTCGTAGACCAGGTAGGCATGGACAATGAGCTCGGGGTTGTGTCTGGCATGTCGAGCGCCCTTGGTTGCGGTATAAATGCTACAGTAGCTTCAGGGTCTCGCAGATGTTCCAAATATATTAGCAGACTACCAATAGTGCCGAAGGAACTTGAGAAGTAGCTGCTAAATGTCGCAGAGCATATCGATAACCTGACAAGCCCCCAAGACAACGAGAGGTCAAGAGTATTCCAGTAACTAGTCTTATATCATCAATGCGAACTTCGCCTGCTTATAGTGTAGGAGGAAGCAAGCGGAGCAAGAGATCAGTGTCGGTATCCTACGCCATTAGTAGACGATAGACGATCGTGGTGGATAAATTAGCACCTAATAAAATGAGTAGACTAGATCTTGCAGCTGTAGAAGGCCAGGCTATACGAGAATTACAACGGTACCCAATGTTAGCTAGGCTAACCACAGTGACTCACACAACACCCGCTACTCTGCTTAGTGCGCATGTTACCACCACAGAGACTGCTGACTGTAACACTGCCTTCGCCGTGACGGCTTGATACAAAAGTGACAGCTATTGGCGTGTGGAGAATAATGATAGTACATGTATGAACACACTCGTTGATGTAGCGAATGCAGTTATCGACGTGAAGATTCGATGCAGCATGACTTGAGTGATTACCCTGCCCCTACAGAAAGCAAGCCACAAGGATAGCTTTTCAAGCCGAATCAGTAAACGTACGTAAAGACTTCGAAGAGTAAAGACTGCCTGGCCAACTCACCGGAAACACGGGTAAAATGATTTCTGCCGCGAATAGAAGAACTTCAATCTTGTCGAAGCGCCGCAGCTCGCAAAGCAGAGAATGTTGAAGTGATTGTAGTCTGAGAGAGACCACAATCAAGGAGAAAAGGATTACAAGGAGTGGCAAATTAATCTATCTGATCCAACGCCAGCTGACGAGACTACTAAACATACCGCTGATAGTCGATCCCAAGATGCTGCCCGACACATCAGAGGTAGCCAAAAGTCTAGGGTATAGCTAGTGCCCCTACAGCGTTGTCATATTAGTAACGATAATCTCACTAAGCACGTTCAAGCCTCTGCTAGTTAGGTTTCGTTGAAGCAACTTTCAACAACAGCTCTTATGTTTTTCAAAAGAAAGAAGATGACAGAACTAGTAAAAGAAGAAGTAAAAAAAGTAACGCACATGCAGCGTACAGACGGGGCTTTCTACTAGAGATATCCGAAAGTGCCGCGTAGACTGTTTGGGTGACAGCGACGACGAGGAGATGAGCGATAGAAGCCTAGAATGACTTTAGGCTAGTACATTTGAAATCTAACGTCACAGTTTATTATGTTCAGCAATAGCTTAGGAAGACAAGTAGATAGATGCCGACTCGTTTCGCTACTAACAACTTAGTCGCATTGAGAGCACTGTGCACACAAGAGAAAGTTAGCTATAACAGCGGCGGATGTGAGGCAAAAGACGATAAGCTTCCTTCGAAGTTTCTTAGTAATTGAAGGTGTACTAGTCTGCTGAAGTGCTAAACAATCTGAGGTGCGCTCGCACTGCGCGACTGTGCTACAGCGGCGAAGACTAGCGATGGGAACAAATCTACTAAGACTCAACGATGCACGTATGCTGAAAGGGCCTGGCGCGCAATGGAGCGAATCCACTCGAGTGTGCTAAGCCTGCAGTGCTCTCTTACATCTGTGCAATCTTTGTCCAAAGTTTCCACGCTGGCATTACCTTATACTGATGATACCCTGCACATAATCCTAGACTGTCAAGAATCCACTGACAATGGTTCCGCCAGATCGAATACACTGATCCATCTCTCTGATGTCTTTTCATAAAATGTAATAAGGTGGAAACAAACAAGACAAGACATTAACGACAGAGATCCGAACTCGTTGCATTATCATTACATCTACAAAACATTCATAACCCAACCACTTCTCTAAGCGTTGTAAACAGAGTACTCACAAGCCTCAGGCTTCGTCTCCTTAACCGCCCTAGCATTCAGCCCAACACATCCCTCGCTACCAGCCGGCTTGTCTGCACCCGCAAGCCAGACCTTCCATCCCGTCAACTCGTCCCCATCAGCCGGGGGGCAAGCCTGAAACGCCGTAACGGCACCATTACCGTTATCAAAGACCAAGTCGCTCGTCTCTGTGATCTTGAACGGACCCAACTCCTGGTTTTTGCCAATCTGTAAGGGGAGACCGGTGCCATATTGAATGTTGCCCTGGCCCATACCGGAGCGGTCGACGAAGATCTGCTGGGCGGTAAAGTTATCCGGGGTGTCGCCGGTGTAGAGGAACAAGAGGCCCTGGCCGTTGAGGACGAAGGAGGCGTGGTCGCGGGGGAGTCGGGTGGTGCAGTTTGCGCTTTGGAAGTCATCGCCGATGAGGAGACCGTTGGCCTTGGCTTGGAAGGGCTCGCATTCAATCTCGTTGGCTACCTTGGGGAGAGCCACGAGCTTGAAGACGTCGCCGGGGACGACGGCTTCGGAAATGGGAGGCAGGTTGCAGTCCTTTGCGGATGCGAGCGCCATGGTGACGGCGGCGATGGTGGCGGTGGTGTACTTCATGTTGAGGTATGTTTGATGAGCTTGTTGACTGAATTGGAAAGTGAAGGTTGGATGTCGTTGTCGATTGTGATGGTAGGTTGTGAGGTACTGCGTCTCACTCTTTATACATCTTTTGATCTCGTATGCGGATCCCTTGCAACCCCCATCAACCCATGAAGGTGGTCCCTCTCGGCGCCGATCTATACTGCAATCCGCAACATCGTGAGCTCATATGACCGAGAACACGAGGCTTCGTCACCCCAGCAAAGGCCAACGGCGCCACACCCGGCGGAGAAAAATACCCACAACCCCGTATACACGGAAGCTGCAGGAAAGGAAACCGTGCATCAGAGGGGGCAAATGTTTGCAGGGTGACGATTAGTGGTTGTGGAATTAGGTTGCGATCGGCGACACACGGATCGGAACATGCGCATCACTCGCGCGTAAAAATAGAGTGTGGAGTTACCGTCGCTGCCGGTATTACGGTGTAGCAACAACAACACTACGTCGGTCGGTGTGTTGCTCACCGTTCATTCTACGAGGCTGTAGCTGTAGACTGTGACCTAGAACAGGGCTGTCCCGATAAGGAAAGATAAGCGTACTGTTCATGTCGCCCGAGCACAGAGCCAAAGTCGACGTAGGTATGCAATTAGTGCCATCGCAGCAAAGTCGTGGAAAATGTTGATGTTGCGGTCAGCACTACCTGGATACCTGGCCTAGCGCACACAGGCAAGTCGATGATCGCAAAGAGGCTGGTGCGGAGGTACGAAGACGGCATTATCTAACAGCGTCTTCCCCTGATTGCGCAGCGACGGCGACAACGTACGTGTAGACAGCCTTGTGGCAAGCATCGCAGTGAAGCTCACGCACATTGCGATGGTACTGAGCGTCGTATCGCATTCAAGCTATGCTTGTGCTGGGTACATACGATGGTAGTGAGGATGACACATGGATAGAAGCCTGCCAAGGCTAGTCACATGATATCTGAAGTGCTAACGTCGTGGTGACTAATCTTTGCGCGAGCGGTAGCAACATCTAATGGACCGCTCAGGAGAGTGTAGGGTTGTCTTCGGATCATCTAGAGGAAGCCTAATTCATATCGCAACGGCCATTACGATGTGCTTCAAATAACAGTTTGATTGTCAAATAGCATTGGTCTTGTTCCGCCGGAGCTCGTCTCGCTCACCGCCCGCTGTCCAAATCTCAGGTAGGCGCAATACAAGGAAACATGCATTACCATCAACACATCTACGTTCTACTCTAGCATCGTGTCAACAAAGCGGACACTTCAAGCCTACCCTCCCCATCATCTTCCCCACCTCTGCATTACCCCCCTCCGCACTCTGCTCCTGCCCAACAGCACTACTCTCGCGCTCCAAACACCCACGATGCCACAGATGCCTACAAGCAAAGAGGACCAAGCTCTCTTCCTTCTCCTCTCCCTCATTATCCTCTAGAACATCCGCTTGACTAGGCCTTTTCCCCTTCGCCTTGCCACTCGCCTCCCCATCGCGCCCAGCACTACCGCCACATTCCAGCCTTGCCTTCATCCTAGACTCTTCGCGCTTCTCCCAAGCCTCCCACACGCTACCTCCCGCTCCCGGCCCCCAACACCTTTTTCTGCAGCCCTCACACACCTGTCCCCTAGGTCTCCAGCCCCGCTTCCTCAGCTCGGTTATCTCAGCAACGTGTTCAAAAGACTCTTTGTCTAAGAATCTGTTTGCGAGGCTTAGGATTGTTTCTTCGAAGGTGTACGCGGCGAAGATTTCTGATAGGACGGAACGTAGGTCGGAGAGCGAGGGCGAGTAGGTGTGTGAGGCGCGGGTTAGGAAACAGCGGAGGATGCGAAGGAAGGAGGGGTTCGATTGTGGCTGGTTCAAAGATGGGCGAGCAGCTGGCGTCTGGGTGCTTGTGCGAGTTTGAGTGCTTGTTCGGGTGGGTGGTATGGTTGTTGATGTAAGGAGGGCAGAGAAGGTTTGTTGGATGGTGGAGCGGAGGGATGCCACGATGCGGGCGGTGTCGACGGTGTCGGCTTGATCCATGTTCGTTGATGCGATGGAGGCGTCATGGCTTGCGACGGCACTTGATGTATCTCTGATGAGGCGTACGGATGTATCGACCAACTCGAGCCATAGTAGCTCGTCTGGTGCTAAATCTGCTTCCCGAACTTCGCCGTATGCAGACTTCCGCCTGTCAATGGCTGACTCCAGCCTCCGCTCAGCTGACCGCGTTTGTCCCTGGCATAGCCAAATACCAACTTTGATATACTTCTGGATGTCTTCCAAGAGGTCATGGACTGCTTCTTCAGTATTGGCAATATCAGGTGTTTCTGCTGCGGCGCCGATGAGGCCTGTCAATGCAGTCTCGAGTGTGCCTAGGTGCCTCACTAGTCGATCCATGGCACCTTGGACGAGGCCGTCACGAGCCATCAGTATTACGGCGCCGTCTACGACACCGCTCTTCTCCAGCGCCGGTAGTACGGGATCCAATTTCAGATCACTAGAGTTCAACGAGCTGACAAAGTCTGCAACATGGGCACTATTGTAGGTACACATGAGCTGAACATAGCGTTCGATAAACCCGGAAGGAAGGTTGTCGTCGACAAGTGTCTTCGTATTTACTCCGTCTTGATCTGGTTCAATCAGAGCCTCCAGATAGCGGTATTGGGCATCAGGTTCAGCCTCGATGGCGTCTAGAACCGGATTCAGCAGGTCTGGCGCATATTGTTTCAGTGTAGTCGCAGTTTGTGATGCGTCCACGGCGGCTAGAGCGATAGCCCGATCGACAATGACTGCCTTTACCTCGTTGACTTGCTTCTTGACGAGACCTTTGCTAGGCCGCAGAATGTCAGCGATACATCCAAAGACCGCTTCCTCGTCCTCGTCATCAACAAGGTATGTTTCGAGCAGTTTAGCGTATTGGTGTGCACCGCGATAGACAGACTTCAGTACGCGATGGAAGCCTGCATTCTGGAACAGTGGTACAAGGCTTTGAGTGTTGGGCGGATGATAGATGGAAAGCAGATACTCCACTGAGAGCTGGCAGTCCTCTTTGATGGTGTCAGTAGGATATTTGCAGAGGCCGACAAGGATTTGATGAAGCGAGGTTCCTGGAAGCATAATGTGTTGCGGATACTTGGGCAAATTTCGCGCGACGAACATGTAGAAGTAGATGATGTCTTCCGGGTCAAAGTTGTCCGTGTTCATGATGCCAAAGAGGTAGTTGATGATGGACTGGCGCGTTGGCGTGAGAGCGGAACCACGCTGCGTCCCATTTGGCTGGGCTCCGTTGGGCGAGTCTTGTTCGCCATTCAAGAAGCTGTCTTCGAAGGCCTCGTTCAGCATACTCATGAAACTCGAAGCATCAAAGTCTAGTATGAGCTGCAGATACGGGAATGGTGGCTCCGCACTGCCATCGGTCCGTGTGAGGATGATCTCGTCCGAGCCTGGTGGCCATTGCAGGTTCTTGCCAGAGAACACGAATCGATACATCTCCTTCTTCGCACTGTAGGCTTGGTTGTCATCCATGAATGTGCCTCCAGGATACACACGACCCGTGAAAGTATACGCGAGATATGGGAAGATCTTCTTCGCGGCAGTAAGGTAAATATTTTCATCCTCATCCACATCAAAGTCCACCAATTTGATGAGCTCTAGAATGTTTGTGAGCGGCGTAATGTAGTCTCCAATGGCTCTTGTCCACACATAGATCAGCGCATCGTACAACACGTATTGCTGACAAAGTGTGGTGACTTGATTCAGATCCATAGTACCTGTGTCGAGCCGGCAAATCATCTCTTCAAGTTGCGTAGAGCGGTTGTGCGACGCATAAAAGGTTATGAGGTCTTTCAGGACGTTTGGGGGTACCGATGAGATCTCATCATCTTGAATATACGGCTCAAGTGTCTCGAAGAAGGCCTTCTCGGCTGACGCCTCTTCATACGCATCGTAGACTTCTTCAAAAAGGAAGTCATACTCCTCCATACAGATGAGGCCAGCGAAGACTACTTCGGCAAGTTCCTTCGATCGTCGCTCATATGAATCGCTGTCAATGTCATCTTCGCGAGAAAAAGAGTACTTGAGCGACGCTGTTATCATTTCGATCAGCTTCGGCTGGACTAAGGCATGTCGAGCTTTGTCATCTTCAGGCAGCCCGACTGTAAGCTTATCCGCGTCGCCAACGTAGTACGAAGTCGCGAGGCCAATAGCAGCTATGTAGTCGCCATCTTCCATCAACGCCAGCAGACGATCAGCCCAATTTGAAAGCGTACCGATCGAGCAGTCGTTGAAGCCAAGCAGGAAAAGCCGACCCTTGTAAGCTCGAAAGCTCATGTAGAAGGCATCTGATACGACTCCATGCAGTGACGGGTCTTCTTCGTCAAGATGTTCAATAGCGGGCTTGAGCTGTCTCGAAAACAGATCCGAGTGGTATATGTGCTTCTGCAGCAAGTCGAAAGAGTCTGTCACGCGCAATGTGTTGTCTTCCAAGATCATGAGTCGCTGGCTGATGGTCAGTACGCTGAGAACTGATCTGCTAAGCCACTGAACTGCAACAATAGCCTCTTCAGCCTTCCAACGACTTCGGGGTCGAAAGTGGAGCTCTGTAGGCTTTTCTCTTTCCGATGGAGGTGGTAGAATGTGATCGACCTCTAATATAGTGAGGACATTCGACCAGCAATATACGAGCTTGGTCTTGGAGACTGCATTCCCAGGACCGGTGGCGGTTTTCAGCTTGACAGCAGGGAACCAGGCTAGGCATCCACTCAATGCGCTGTGTGCTTCCACGTCCTTTGGCCGAGGTGCCTTGTGTTGTGTCTGCGCGACTGGAGTAGTCGACACTATCACGAGCAAGTAGGGCGTCAGAAGCGCGGTCAAACCCATGCTATCCGTGGGCTGTTCCACATTTCCCAGTGGGAGCGGAGCGAAAGCCAGCACAGAACTGGGTTTCCGCGGCTTTTCCAACGACTTTGCAGAAGTTGGGTATCTGCCCAGGATCCTCGTAGTCTTAACTGTGCGTGCGATAGCGCCTAGGCCACGCGTTGCAAGATGGGAGAATGCCATGCCTGCATCATCGGCCGAGACGAGCGCTGTATGCCTGGTGCCGAGGAAGCCCAGATGGAGAATGGCGACACCAGACACATGGCCATCCGACTTGTGATCCTCTAGGTTGGCCCTCTCGAGGGGCGGAATGTGAAGGAATGGCTTGGCTGGTTTCGCCAACTCCCAAGTGAAGATGTGACCCGTTGCATGTCCTCCAGCGATAGTCGAATGATCAGCGGCAATGGCTAGCGATGTGATGGAGCCGCATTCGACGGCCTTGGTGCCCGGTCCGATGATGGATTTGAGGACCTGCTGGTAGTCGAAGACGAGGATGAAACCTTTCGACGTGCCTATTGCCAGCGACACGGTGACATTCAGACACGTTGGCCGACCGAAGTTGCGCTTGCCAATCTCGGAGAAGACCTGGCCAGTTATCTTCTTCAGCTTGGTCCATCGCACAACCTCCCATGGCGCCTGCGGAGTTTCGGACCCATCATCTGACAGTTGGTGGAAGGCGGCATTACTCGACACGGAAGATTGTCGCGAATGCGGCGAAAGGAATGCGGGCGACTGGCCACGGGCCGGGGACGACAATGGCGAGGGCGACAGGCGCGAGGAGAAGCGACGCTCAAAGGGCTGTAATGAAGTCGGACGGTGGGCGCGGAGCGAGTTGTGCGATACTGGGACGCTGCTGGTTGGTGAGGATATGCCGGAACCCTGTCTTGGTCAGAGGACTTCCATGTCGTTCCAGAAGACAACCTACTTGCACCGAAGGCGTATCGTCTGGTATATCCGTCGACGCAGGGCTTTCCTCGACTGTCAGTCTGGGTCGTACAGACAACTCCGAAGCCGACTCTTGCGCGTCTTCGTGTGTATTCCTGCTCCGTGTCCGGACAAAGGTCAAGCCCTCGGAGCCGTTGTCTAGCGACTGAGCGTCGTCGTTGTCCTCCATGTCAGAAGCGCCCATGGCGCCTTCACCCACGTCTATCTCATCTCCATGGTCGTTGTGAGCGCTGGAGTGGCTCTCTCCCGAATCTGAGCTCATCTGCCTCGTTCTGCGCAAAGCATTGCTTCAGGCGCACACCAACTCTTTGCGCGGTATAGCTTCGTGATTCGCGGGCGTTGACCGTGGGCGACGCGGGGGTCTTGGTCGCGGTTCGTGGCACTGTGGTGATGTGGCCTACGGGCAAGGCGAATGAGAAGGCGGTCTAGCGGCTAGAGCGGCAACCGAGCGTGTATGCCACGGATACAGACGTCAGTCGAGGTTGTGAAGGTCGCCCACGAGGGTTGGCAAGGATGGCGCGTCGGTGGAGCTCGAGGCGCAGTTCGCAGTTCGCAGATCGCCGCAGCTGCCGCACCGTTGGGTGAAGGTCCAAGCTCCTGCCCAACGTCACTTCCACGCGACAACCAAACGCGCCGCGTACAGCCCAGCAACCTCAAATCCTCAGCCCACAATGCCTTCAATAGGACCCGCAATGCCCCCGCACCCGGCGAAGCGCAGTCGCGATAACGACGACCAGCGACCATCAAGTCCAGAATCCACAGACAAGCGCAGACGAGTCATCGGCCCAGCACCTCCGCCTTCCGCATCCTCACCACCGCCATCGCCATCACCATCACGGTCCAGCAGCGTAGACAGCGACGTCGGTCCTGCGCCTCCGCCAGCTCCAAAGCGAGTAGTAGGGCCCGCACCACCACCAGCGCCTCTCGACGAACTACCGCCCAATCCTGCAGATAGCGACTCAGATTCGGACAGCAGCGATGACGACTTTGGTCCCGCCCCACCTCCAGCTGGCAGCATGTCTTCAGGCTTCGACGACAACATGGCGACGTCCGCATTCGATAGCGAGCCACAATTCACAGACGCGCCGAAGAAGGCACAACGCGACGAGTGGATGACACTACCACCCACACAAGACGACCTCGCCGCGCGCATGGACCCAACCAAGATGCGCGCGCGCAAATTCAACTCAGGAAAGGGCGCAGGCAATACAGGCGGCATGAGCAGCGCATGGACCGAGACACCGGAGCAGAAGCTCAAGCGACTGCAAGACGAGGCCTTGGGTATCGCGGCACCTACAAACGCGGCGCCTGCGACATCCGAGTCGAAGCGCACCAAGGAAGAGGAGCGGAGGGCGCGCAAGATGCGCGAGAAGATTGAGGCGACACGAGGCAAGAGTCTAGTCGAGCAGCATCAGGATAGGGGTACGGGTAAAGAGAAGGAAGACGATCCGAGCAAGCGCGCGTTTGATTACGAGAAAGACATGGCTGTGAGCGGGAATTTGAACCATAAGCAGAAGAGGGAGATGCTCAGCAAGTCGAAGGGTTTTGGCGACCGCTTCTCAAGCGGAAGCTTCTTGTAGTTGCAATATATTCTACTTAACGCACGGAACTTCGAACGGGCGCGCAAAATCAGCACATTGGTTTTCTGAAGCGCCAGTCTATTCTGACACTCAAGACTTCAGGACTCCGTGTTCCGCAGACTCCTCGTCAAGTAGCTTCGCAATAGCATCATGATACTTGAAGTGGTGTGCATTCGGCTCATGGAGCCGCGCACTTCAAAAGCGACAAGCATGACACTCCCTCGTACCGTACGAATATGTAAACACGTCTAGGTGCAGCTTGTTACTCCGAAATTTGCAGCGTGTGGTTGGAAGGTGTAGCTTGTTTTCCACTAAACCAATAGTTTGCGTCTGTTTGGAAAGCCAACCAAGCTACACAGACCAGGTCAGCGAAAAGCAATGAGCTTTTGGTAACTTGGACATGTACTTGCGATGCATGTACGAGGTTCGTGGCGTCATATTCATTTTTGTTGATGCATCAGGCGTCTAGTCGATCCGAAGTGCGTATACTGAATCCGCCAAGATCCAATCCCGAGATCTAATCCACAGCAACAAGGTCACGACATCTAAGGGGAGAAACGATTCAATCAACTTTTGCTCCACATTACCAAAGACAGAACAGCAGCAGTGCTTGCGTTGGACTCATTCGAAGTGATGTCATCACTATCCCGAATCCTCCGCAAACAGAGTAAAGCTCATGTCTCACAGCGACCACCAAGAACCACCATGACATAGCAAATCCCATGAATTACCTACATAACGACTGGCAGTGCCACCAAGTCATCCATTGCTAGATAGCTCCGCCTCGCTACTGGAAGTGCAACTTGATTTCACCTACCAAAAGTTAACAGCCGGTCCCAACATGAACCCATCGCAGTCTGGATACTTACTACGACCCATACCTTCAAGCAGCAGAGCAACAAGATCATACTCACGGTCACTCGTACCGAAGGGACAACCTTGCCATTAGTTAGTATTGATGTCGAAATCTGTATAAGCAGGGACCATGTAGCAACACACCGTTCGTCTTGAGTTGAGGATCTTCTTCCGGCCCATCGCGCTGGCACGGCTGTACCGACTGTTGGTCTTTCGCCCAAAACACCTGCATGGGCATAAGAGCGCGCGGCTCAATTACCCACCGGCCCATGTAATACTCTCCACTAGACAAGTATCCATCGGTCAGTTTGAGGACAGCGGCATCCGTGCGGGGTCCGAGTCTGGAGGGAATCCTGTCATTGTCGTCTTCGACGGACTTGGGTGGGTTGACGACGAATTGGCCATTGACTTCCATGATGAAAGCGCGGGTAAGAGTTTCCCCTTCCATGCTGGCTGGGTTTTGTGTTAGTTGGGGGTTGGGGAGATGTGGGTATGGACAGATTGTGATCGTAGGAAGACGAGTTGCGGTGTTGGTATTTCTAAGTCTGCTTCTTCAAGTCTTCTTTTATAACTGGCTCTCGCTCGCACGGCATGCTAAAGAGGACAACGTCTTGCGTGCCACAGACTACTCACTCCGCTTCATAAAGGCGGTGTGTGTTAAAAGCAAAGAGCAGATCAAAGGAATTGATTATGTGCTCACTGTCCTGCAATGCTAATGCGAGTGATACTGCAACAATCCACCCAAAACTCCGCGATTATGGTGTATGCTTCTAAGATCTGTAGCGCGTAGCTGGGCGTTTTGTTGTACGTTATGTGGGATTTCAAAATGCTGGACGCTGCAATGTGTAAGAACAAGCGTACGTAGTGGAGTCCGACGAGGGGAAACTGTTGGCTAATGCGCTCGGGGCGGACCGAACATCGGAAAGCCACAAAAAGCATTTCTGTACAAGTGCTTGGGTCGGGCTGCCACAGACGACTATTGTGTGCTGCACGCTTAGGATGATACAACTGGAAGCTCGTAATGATGTTAGGTTCACGCTGGTATGGATGCCGATGGTGTGAGATCTCTATAGGTGACATGGCCGCTCGTACGCTGTGAGAACCAAGTTCTGCTGGTGTTGGGACGATTGAGGTGTGCTGCTGACCCCGCCCTCTCGCTTCCCAAAGTATAGTCGACCCTTCCTTTTTCTAGCCCATTTCCCTGAGTAGGGTACAAGGGCCTTGGCACCGACAATTTCGAAGCAGGCGCGACGACACTACCGCAGCACCTCCGGATTCTAGGGTAAGAGGCAACACCCCTGCAATGCCGCTAATAATAATTGTCCGCCTCCTGTCGGCGTCTCCTGCACCATCAGCTGTCAATGGCGAAAGTAGCAGTCTTTGTGTGCGGGCCTTTTCCCCCACAAAGTTAATGGCTGAGATTCATCTGTCGGCTGTCACGTTGATTGCCGCAGTCAAAATAGGTGCAAATGCGCCTTCTTGTCCAAGTAATGACGTCGTTGATGCTTTTGGTAGATCAATCCAGCGGATTCTACAAAGAGGGGGGTATGGATAGATGTATTGATAGTTGTGACACTGAAAACTTTGCCCGTTTGAACGCCTGCCTTGCGACATAAGTCGACTCTTACCAACGATTCGATGACATCTGCAATGATGGCTTAGCGTATTACACTACACCCCATTGGATGCGTACAACGGAAGTGACGAAACGGCACTAATCCGACCTGGCCAACGGACTTGTCTGAAGTTGACGGAGCAGCGAGTAGCGACTCTAACGATCACTTAGAATGAACACAGCGAGAGTTAGTCTTTCTACTTTCTAGGCCACTCTTCTTGCTTATAAGGTTTATGATAATTGCGTTTGTCTTTGCTGGTATTGATTTTTTAAACCTCCATGCGGGAGGATTTCACCAATAACGGCAAACGTAATGAGTAACGTCTTCTCCGTGAGTATACTTAAAGTCCTCGTAGGAACATGACCAAGCAGTGCTCTTGATAGAGCTTTGAAGTTGTAACGGAGCAGAGTCCAGCTTAGAAAGGGAAACAAGAAGGCGATAATCAATAGAGAGCTTCGTAACAATCAAGGGTGCCGTAATATTGACCATCGCTGATTTGACCTGATTACGCAGCGTAATCACCCCTTGTAAAATTGAATAGACTAAAGCTCGATCCAAGGTCATCTCAAAGACATATATGATGATATTTGCGTACTGCGCTTGAGAGGAGAACAGCATCTAAATGAAGGTATGCTGGTTGGCGTCCTGTAACTCTACATTTGCACATATAAGTAGGGACAGTCGTGCCCTAAAGATGATTCATAGTAACAAAAAAAGAGTCGCGTTGTCCTAAGTTCTTGTACATCTCCTGGCACTACGATCACACTCCGCTGGTTCTCCCTCTTAGATCGGAACGACGTAGATATAGTAGCGCACATCGTTCGTAAGGCCGTTTGGTTGCGTCAACAACTGATTCTCAATGTACTTGACCCCATCGATGTAGTCTGCTCAAGGGTCAGTCTCACGTCTTACAGCCATAGTAGCTGCCGCCACTTACTGCGAATGTCCTGAGTGTTGGGGTTATTGAGACCAGTCTCGCCATTACGGTGGCCAGCGATCCACTTGTTCTGACCATAGTATGACTGGCATTCATTCAAGCACTGGACGTCGGCGTTAAGGTTGGAGCTGTTAGCAGTCACGCAGTCAGAACACGTTCGTGGATATCGTGCCGAGGGTAGGTAAGGACTCACTTCAGAACAGCGCCGTTGTTCCAACTCGACTGTGACTGCCCTTTGAAGCGGCTGCAGCATACACGGAGCATGCCCCAGTTCTGCTTGAAGATGCCGAAGTTGGCCGCGTCGTTCTGCTTGTTGTCCCCATAGGCGTACTATGAATGGTATTGTTCGTTAGCGAAGGCCGCGGCTGTGCTTTGGCTACAGGTGGTTTCTTACATTCGTATCCATGCGCTCAGTCTCGAGCATGGCAATCGCTAGGTTTAGAGAACTGGCTCCTGCGGCAGTGACTTGTCTCTTACGCGACCCAAGGCCTGAGATGGTGTACGAGCCGGTCTGTTGACGTGCCTCGAGATCTTTCGAAGACGCAGCCTGGGGAATTGTGGCCGCCGAGGCAGCTGTAACCAAGAACGCTGAAGCAATAGCTGAGATCTTCATTTCGACGGTGTTATATTCAGAGCCGGGTTGACAAGTAGTACACCGAGGGTATGATCGTGGTTGGAAATCATTCAGTAGACTGTGCTGCTGAGCCTGAACTTTATACAATCAGCAAGTCTGCAGCATTCATTTGTTCTCCTAACGCACGGGTGAGAACATATTCCGTAAAATCATCCTTGGATATTTCTGCCAATCAGTGTGTGGATACCAATATATGACCACCTCTCTCTTCGAAACAGGATGGCTTGTGTGCCCAGAGCGACCTTATAGCTGATCTGGAGAGATACAATCTATTGAAGAAAGCGGAGCCTTCGTATAGGATGGATGATTCTCTCTGGTTGGTCTAATGAGATACGGATAACGCCACTTTCACCTTGAAGCATGCGGACACATGGTCTCCGGTCTTTTTTAGTGTGTCACTAAGAATTGCAGCCTTGAGTGTCAATAAGGAAGAACCTAGTACCATGTCGCAGGAGTTCTTCTGGGTGGACGTTACACCATCTGAAACTTTGAGGCAAAAGCACGGACGGAGCTACTGCATCCGCGCCGTATTTAGTAAGCGTTCGGTCTCTTAGCACGTCACTCTCTACGTCAATAACAGCCATAGCGCTGCATTGCTAATTTGCAGATCAGCAGTAGCTTTCAATGCTTCGCTGTCGTCCAGACGCGTTAGTTCCTGTTACCAATTTCCTCTGCCAACGATACGGCTAACCACAGAAGTCAATATCACTGCAACCGTGAATAAGCTTCTTGGTATAGTGATCATGACTGGCACTGTATTACCAAACGGTCTAAAACCGATTGATTTAGCTGGAGTAAAGTAGAACTGAGTCGATCATCTCTAGAACAGTCTTTGCAATCTCAGCATAAACTTTTCGGCGTTTATACACAATAAGCACTTTCCTGTTAGGGTCAGGAGGGTTATAGATCAGCTTGCCCAGGTGTACCACAGGATACAACGAATCACCACTACCATGGAGAGGTCGATAGTTCTTGTAGCATGGAACTTAGTCAACCCATCTCACAATTCGTGGAACACTTGTAGACATGAACGCTACAAGACGTGAAGGATTCGGAAAGCCAGGTGGTTGTGAGATGTTTCCGTGTAAAACACTAGTTTCGCAGCTTTTTGACTGGAATCAAGACCGCTGCCTCATCGCCTTTGTCTCTTCGTCATTCTCGATGTTGCGCAATTTCCACCCAGGATCATGCAAATGAATGATCCCCTCACCAGATGGATACATGAGCGATATGTCATGCATTTAATAGCATATTTTCCCCTCTGTTCGCATAGATTCGCAATCATTTGCTCAAACACCTCTTGGCCATTAGAATCATCTCATAGCCGACTGTGGCGTACTGCCTTTTTCTGCCAGTCCTCGTTTGTTTACTTCAAATCTATACGCAAGAACTTCTCTAATGTGATTCCCCTATCCTAGTACGGCAGGATCTCGTGCTTGGTTCCCCTAGGCCCGGTACTAGAATAAGCGCACTGCAACACTCGTTACAGATTCTCGATGCTTGATCAAGAGGGGAACTGTCGAGAACATGACAGAAACTAGTTAATGAAATGTAAATAACTCGTCCCGGCAAGACTATGCTTCCTATAGATTCAGCCTCCTTGAGAGTCGCACATTTATCAGACCTGTTTTAGCAGGGCTCACGGCATTAGCGTAGTGTTGATACCACAGGGCTGTTTTGATGGAACTTTTTGCTTTTGAAACCTGCCTCTGGTCCTTCTCGCAACCAAATGATTCTTATGCAGGCGACATATAGGTAGGATGCAAGAACTCTAAACAGCAAACAAGCATTTACGGCTAAGCAGAAGTTAGTATTCAAATGCGTCATAAGATTCCTCAACAGTAACGTGCCTAGCTAGACCACCGTACGATTTGATGTTTATTCAATTGTCGCACGCAACAGGTAGCCAGGGATTCGTTTTGAAGCGCATTGCTGTCTTATCGCCTATCACGGTGATGCCGAAGTCGTTGCCACAGCTATCAGTGGAAAATGCATTGGCTAAGAAGTTATTGTCGAACCGAACAACCAACGGTGCATCCTAGATTATGGTCGCGCTGGTAGAATGATTGCCGCTACCCCCCTACGTGGCGGCGTTGGAAGACATCTGGCCCGAATGCCATTTCCATGATGAAGTGGATGAAGGAAACTGGGGAGCAACAAAGATATCCAGATGGTTCCTAAGCGTAAAGGATTGACCTTCTGCGATAGACTGGCAGCGTAGTGGCCATTCGAAGAAAGGTGCTGGCCAAGCTCACCAGATTGCACGAGCTGTGCGACCATTTCCATGAACGGGTGGCACAGGTACATTAATCTTTCGAGAAAGAACACAACCCTGTGTTGGCAGATAATAGCTTTCAGGACGCGGTCAATTCTTTCATACAGGATTCTAGACAGCGGTCAGATGGACTATTTAGTAATTCAGCTTGTTAGTGCTTGGAAATGACAAAAATCCAGCAGTGGTTTACATGTAGAATCTTATACAAAGAACAACTATATGACCGCCAAGTCTGAGCCGATCATCGCGTCTATGGACATAGAAGCTCACAGGTCGCCAGATATGGATTGACTACTGGCCTGTGATCCTATAAAGCAGGGTACCATGACCGAATGCGTCGTATCCTCCTGAGTTTGGACCATAATCGCCACCACCGCCCTCAATGTCCGCAGTCAGATTCTGATTAACGAAATCGCGGTATGCCTTAGTCCAGGATGCATTCATTCCCTTGACATCGTTGTAGTGCGCATAGATGGCCTCGAATCCCGGCCGGACGGCAAAGCGTTGTTTCTCTGAAACCACATCAAGTACACCCTCCCAGCTGCGGTATGGCGTATATGGGACAGAGTGATTCCCGGAGTTGAACTTCCCTGCATACTCCGCGCTAGATGTATCGTTAATATGTGACGCTACCCATGATTTGAAGACGTGCGCAACTCACCCATTCAAGATCTGATTACCATAAGCGCCGTATAGATCCACGCCCTGATTGTGTCCCTGTTGGCCGATGACGCCCAAGAGAGCGAAACACAACGTTGCGTGGCCTTGATCTCTGCCTGCCTCCTGGCCCTGCATCAGCGTCTTACCGCTCCCTTCCTCCGTGAAGTTCGCAATGGAAAAGTACGGGAGAGCGCCATTGATGACGATGCTACTGTCTGGCAAACCGTTCAAAAAGGTCTCCACAGCCCAATTATACATCGTCGTGTTGTCGGTAAAGATGCCGATTGCCATCATAGAGGCGATATTGCACAAATCCCAGTTTGCATAGTAAAAGTCAGGCTTACCACTATGCGTGGTCAGGAAGTAATGGTTCTTTGGAGCAAATACGGTGCTCAACATGTTGCCAAACGCAGTTTGATTCTTCTTCGGCCAGTCTGGATAGTCACGAAGAAGCTCCGCGGCGTTGGCGAATTGATATCCATACAGACCGGCGGCGAGGTACATATCTTCATTGCCGTCAATACCTCTCAAGGTGCTGCCCCAGCCATCTAAGGTTTTGATCGCGGCATCAGCGAAGCTGCTGTTGCCTGTGACCAACCACCTCAGAGCGAGCCCGTAGGCAGAGTGAGCATCGCGGTATGCCGAAGGATAGTTGTTGGTGAGGTTACTTCCAGGGGCAGTGCCAGTCGCTGATCGTACGAGTATATTCTTGGGATTTGGTTTCCAGGTAGTCTGCGCGATCGGCCGGGTTGACAGATGCTGAAAAGCTTTGTACCTAAACGTGAAAAACGTGTCAGCACTTGATTTGTGTTCGACAACACAGGATATGAACTCACCATGGCTCATCCTTTTCCGTAACGTGCGATTTGATGCGTTCGATGTCCTTCGAGCTATGAAGTGCACCCGGGTGAGCAAATTGCTTTACTTCATGATGTTGCTGAGCTATGCTTGGAACAGCCAGCGTAGCAAGGGCGATTGAGCAGGTGAATATCTTGAAATGCATGGCGCAATAGCTAGGGGGATGAATTACTGCCGTTGTGTAGTTAACATAGTAGGCGACGGAGCTGAATTTATATGGCCATCGTCGTCGCTGGCTTCAAGGCAGCTCGGCGATCATGTCGTCTCCACTCTGCTTGTTGGTTCTGACGACCGCTACTGCTCTCCGCATTTTCCCCAGTCACTCCATGTGATCAGAGCGGGCGGGTAACTAGAAGGTTATGGTCTGTCGCAGGGAGAAGGTGATCGTCGGCGCGTGGTCGAGTGAGAGCGTGAGGTAGGAAATGATCCCACGATTGCCCTGGATGTGACGAGGCGGGCTAAGCTCCGGGACATAGCCCGAACCCCGTAGCGGAATCTCAACCCTGCAAACCTTGCGCAACCCACCCCAAATTTGCGTAGCGCTACATCGGATATGCATTGGTCCGTGGGGCCCCAGACTCCAGTATTCGCATTCCGTCGGGGCATTCGCGGCAGGTCAGGTCAAAGCGCATAATGCGAGATGCTATGCAGAGACGAGTGGAGAGTGCGCTTCACAGGATCATTCATATACTGCTGCAGACCAGATCGCAGGACTGCACAAGGTCATATCTCGATCCTCTAATAGCATCAAAGTGAGAATTGGCTATCATGTCCGCCAAAGAACTCGAAGCAGGAGTCAACACGGCCAATCACCACGAGACGAACGACAGTACTTCCAAAGAGGCTGTTCTCCACACAGAAGCCGTCGATGAAGATACTCTACGCTACACCACAGGCCCTCCAATCGAAATCGATGCGGCAACGAACAGACGTCTTTTTTGGAAGCTGAATCGCCGCATCTTGGTTATTCAACTAGTCACATACTTTTGTCAGTCTCTCGACAAGGGTACCCTCAACTTTGCTTCTATCATGGGCATTCAGAAGGATGCTAAACTTGCTGGGCAAGAGGTACTTCTCTCGGGCTAGCTAGTGTCGTAGCCGCTGACATGTTGACAGTATCAATGGCTCGGTACCATCCTATATATCGGTATTCTTGTCGGCGAGTGGCCGCAAAACTTCCTTCTGCAGAAGCTGCCGCTTGCCAAGATGCTGTCCGTGAACGTGTTTATCTGGGGTACTGTGGTTGCATGCTCAGCTGCATCGACCAACTTTGCATCGCTCATGGCTGTGCGCTTCCTTCTGGGCTTCTTTGAGAGCTGTGTTCAGCCTGCTATGATGTTGCTGTGGGTGCACCATGCGGTGATGTACGAAATTCCGCTAATCATGGCTCAGGACCTCTATGTGGTACACTCGCGAGGAGCAGTCTCTTCTCAACTCGCTTTGGTATTGCATGTCTGGTGTACAACTGATGGTGAGTATTTCAAGCTTCTAGGAACATATGAACTAACGACATATGTAGGTTGGTGGTCTGCTTGCCTTCGGTGTCTCTCACTTCACCGATGGTCCCATCAAGAACTGGCAGCTGCTGTTTCTTATCCTCGGCCTTGTTACATGTGTCTGGTCGTTCGCTATCGGCTACTTCCTACCTGACAGTCCTATGGCGGCCAAATGCTACTCGGAGGATGAGAAGCGTCTCTTTATTGAGCGTGTCCGTCACAACGAGACAGGCATCAGGAACAAGCAGTACAAGAAGTATCAAGTCAAGGAAGCCTTCACTGATCCTTTCGTGTGGTGCTGCGTCGCGCTCATCACCGTGGCGAACTTGATCATTGGCGGTCTTGGAGTCTTTTCCAACATCATCATTCGCCAATTCGGATTTTCACTCCTCCAAACACAGCTCCTCAATATCGCTCAAGGCGCCTGGCTGATCATCGTTATGATCGGATCGGCACAAGCTTGTCAAAAAACGGGCCAGAGTTGCTACATGATGATCGTAAGTGGTCGAATGTACATTATACGGCATCAAGACTGATTCTTTACAGCTCTGGACTATACCGGCAATGGCCGGCACGATCGTCATCCTCACTGTGGTGCCAAATCCCGGAAACTCTGGCGGCATGCTCATCGCCTTCTACTGCACCCAGTTCTTCTGCGCCCAGGGCAACATGATCATCTCTTTGATCACTCGTAATATCGGTGGCCAAACCAAGAAGGGCATGGTGATGACAATGGTGTTCGTGGGATGGTCTGTCGGCAACCTCATCGCGCCTCAGATCTTCCAGACGAAAGACGCGCCACGATACCTCCCTGGTTTTCTAGTGCACATCGTCATATACGGCTTGTACATCGGGCTGATTGCACTGACCCGTTTTGTTCTGATGGCAAGGAACCGTCGGAAGGATGCTGTCATCAGCGAGGTCACTCATGAACTTGCTTTCCAGGACTTGACAGATACGGAGAACCCCAACTTTCGTTACGTGTACTGAGTTTGGACATACAAGCAGATGGCCTTCAAACTCAAAAATGGCTTCAGCAAAATGCATGTGCGAAAGCGATCTAGTCCTTATCTCTGCGATCGAGACGCTCGTTGAGAAGGAGATTTTCAGAGGGTCGGTTGTTTCATGATATATACATGAGCCGTAGTGCTTACTATACAATCAGCCAGCTGTTAGAGTCTCAGATGAATTCTTTCCCATCTTCACATGCATAGACTATACAATGATATGCAACTCAATGACTGCCTCTGCTGACGTGTATTGTTGCATGAGCGCCGTGAAAGAGATACAGTATATCTCGCGAGATCGCATTTATGTTTGAGATAGCTTAGAGCGACTCTGGAAGATCTAACATGTTGGGGAACGATAAAAAAGCAAATCAGACATGTGAATCACTACGGACGCAATCATCACAGCAGGATGTTGACGTTTCCCTTGGGACTCCACAAGATAGACCTGTGAACTTGAGGATCGTTTCGAGCGATACATTATGTTCTCATTCTTCCCGTAGCGGTAAAACTATCTTCGTTCAAGCGTTAGACTTGAGTTGATCCAATCAGGACGGCGCTTGTCAATACCTCTTGCTTGCGGAATTTGTCCCTGCCGTTCGTCCTATCGGCATTGCCTGCATTACAGTGCAGGTGGAAGGATCACCCAGCAAGATGAGCAGTCATAATTGATCCTTGCCACGACTCGTCTCACGATGCGGAAACGGGTTATTTCGACATAGGTCACGGATAGACGGACGACGGGCCGGAGCTTGCCCGGTGGCCGGAAGCTGCTGGCCTGACCACGGAGATGGATCAGCGCCGGCAGCGATACCGGAAGCAAAGGAACCAAAGTAAGAGAAGTCAATCCATTACTATTAATTCATATGTACATCTGATCACTAGATTACAACGCGTTCCATCGAATACGTGATCGGATCACTAGCACGGCATCTACAGGACACCATGGCAGCCTTGACCGTAACCGAAACTAGCCTCTCGCATGCGCGGAAACGACATCGGACTGCAGAAGATACTGTAGAGGCATATGAGGGAGAGTCGCCTCGAAAACAATCCAATGGAACGGTCGAACATGCCGTACCGCTCCCAGCTTGTAGCTTACTAATCCAAGAAGACAAGGAAGAACTCTGGAACTTGTATGCACCCTCTACCGAAGCAAAAATATGGGGTGTCGCAGCTAGAGCTCTACGACAGCCCTCACCACCTACGTTGTTCCCCGAATATACCGAGCCCGGGGGTGCGGAGTACATATATAGAGATCCAGCATTCTGGACGTCCGGATTCTTTCCAGGCAGTCTGTGTCTACTACTGGCTCGACGGAAGAAATACGAACATTTATTCGGCTTGTTGAGAGGGGATCAATGCGGTTTACCGCATCTTCTGACTCTAGAGTAAGACTCCTGCACGTGGTTCCGTATTCGTTGTTGACATCTGATCAGACACGCGTGCAAATATTGGACAGAGAATCTCCATCGTAACGCAAGGCTCAAATCGACGCATGATCTTGGATTCATGGTCATGCCATGGGCGAAAATCGCTTACGAATCGAACCACGATCTTCGAGCTCTTGAAACGATCAAGACCGCCGCAGATACCCTGCATTCTCGGTACAACAAGGAGTTAGGATGCATCCGGTCATGGGACACATGTGTGACGAAGAAGTACAACTTTCAAAACATGGAGACGGACTACATGGTGATCATAGTAAGTATAACAATAGCCAGACGTCTCTTGGAAACTCTGACAGATCTTGTACTAGGACAACATGATGAATCTCGATTTGCTATTCTATGCCGCATCGAAGAGCGGGAACACCGAGATGTTCAATGCCGCAGTGCAACATGCTCGCACGACCGCTCGCACACATATACGGCCAGATGGTTCGACAACGCATCTGGTTGTGTTAGATCCAAGAACCGGCAGAATCAAACATCAGTTGACCAATCAAGGCTACTCGCACACCTCGTGCTGGGCTCGTGGTCAAGCGTGGGCAATAGCCGGTTTTGCGGAGACATACCATTGGACACACGACGCGGAGTTCCTGCGCACAAGCCAACAGGCGGCGGACTTCTTCATCGCTCGGCTAGATGATTCTGGTGTGGTACCATGGGATTTTGATGCACGAGATGTTGTGGGACCAGGTCAGCCGCCAGACTCTAGCGCAGCGGTGATCGCATCTTACGGCATGCTGCTGATTCATCAAGCTCTCGTTGAACTGGGACAACCTTCACGATATCTCGCAGAAGCGTTGAGTATAATCCAGGTTGTGTGTGCAAATCACCTCAATCCAGCGGCAGCACTGATTGAAACGAAAACCCGAATCGAGACGGTAGAGCATGGTCGTGTGGAGGAAGTAGCACAGCACGTTGACATAGGCATTGGAGATACGATTTTGAATGGTGCGACGATCAACAATTATGAATTCGCACCAAGGAGATGGGCTGATCATGGATTGGTGTACGCGGATTATTATTTCCTGCTGGTGGGAAACAAGCTATTGGAAATGGGCATAGGTGTCCAGGTTCTAGCTCGATAAAGATAGATGCAGCAATGAGAGGTTTCGACGCAGATTCTGATCAGCCTAATGAGTGGGAAAATGTGCTGACTCGCTGGTCAGGTAGGAAGGAGTAGTCAAGGAATGAGGTGAGATCCTCCAGGGGTACATTGCCGTTGACAGACATTCCTGGAGGCAATACTATGTCACTACTCTGATTACCATATTTCGAATGGGTGACGTCGACATGGTTCACCCGGTCTAGATTCGGTGAGGGCATTGCAGTGTGGTTTCTGCTGAGCGGCTGTGCTTGGAAGGCAACAGGTAAAGGTGGAAAAGCCATGGTGATGCTGTCCGGCGTCTCGCCCGGGTCTGCTGCCACAGGTAACACTTCCCCAAAGACCCCTAGTCGCTGTTGGGTGGTGCTTGATGCGTTCTGAGCGTTTCTAAATGTGCTCGAAGAAGCATCCATGGCTCCATCTGCGAAACCAGTCGGGTTTTCTGCGTAGGCTGCTTGTCGTATGTCCAATGTCTGGAGTCCCGCCTGACGAGCATGGCTGAGTCGCATTGCAAATTTCGAAGCCAGGTTGCTTTTTGCTGTTGAGTGGTCCCCGTTCCACCTGCGTGCCATGACTTGAAGGCTGTCAATGAGACTATCAAATTCTTGTGGTAGAGATATGTTGTAATAAAATGCATGTGCTAGCAGCATACGACCGCATATGAAGAGGCAGAAGGCAAATTGTGGATTTGTCAAACACTGCATATTGCGCAAGAATTCAGCCGCAATGATGGATACCTCGATACTGGCTGCCATGCACGTCTCAGCGCTTGAGCTAGATGGAAGCCTGATCGGTAAAGACTCCCACTCTGGCGATGGATACGCGATTCCCTGATGCAAGAGTACCACTGCCGTGTTGTGCGTGATATGTGCTAATGTCAGGTTCGGGTCCATGTTCCCGTCGCTGTTCAGCGCGCAACCTTCTCTCCAACGTTCTGGTAAGAAGACTTTCCATCTGTAGTAATTAGTCTTAGCTCATAATCTGCAATGGTCTTGCGACTTACTGTATCAGACGGAGATCCAATTGTTTGAATCTCATTAGCCACATCTGTACGTCATGGGGTTTGGCAACGTCCACCTCTTGCTGGAGGAAGAACGATGTGACAAGGCTGAGACTTTCAGTGGCCTCGATACAATACGCGAAACCTCCAAGGGATGCTTGATCGGCATGTTCTTGTCGTGCGCTAGGTAGGGTGTTCGCCGCATCTCCCGGCGGATCAGAGACACCGAAGAATGGTGTGGATGTAGCCAACGGTTCACCCTCTTCCCACAGTCCACCTTCACATGGTAGTCGTCTCCTGACATCTGCACTGGTAAGGCAAACATTCCATCCAGTTGCGACGCTGCAAAATCGATCCATGAGAAAAATGGTCCAAAAAACGCGCCGGCGACCCTCAGCCTCGCTCCAATCATGGCAAGGACGCAAGAATGCCATGCGCTTGACCAAGACGTGTGAGTCTTTCCGTTGATTGGCTTCATCCTCGTCTTCTGTGCTGAGCTGCAGTTGTTCTACTGTTCTGGCCATGCTTCCCACAATCGACCACGCTGAAGGACCGCGTCCGCTACCTATCGTATCAAAAGCACATATGATAAGAGCCTGGAGACCTTCAACGGAGAAAGACTCCATACTTTGCAAGATGACCGCTTGACGACTAGATTCCGCTAGCTTTGAGCGGCTCTCTGCATTGCCCAACCTAGGGTCATCTGAAAAGCGGACGCACACAGAGGTGATTGCAAGCAGGATGATATGAATTTTGTGCCTTTCGTCTGGAAGATGCAGAAGCCGTCGGAACTGACGAACATGGAGTACGGGAATCCAGGGATGGATATTGCTGAAGTATAGCTCGACCAAATAGCCGATCAGATCTGGGGGCAGCAACTCTTGGCTCAGTATGCAGCGGTCAAGGGTAGTCCTTTTGACATGGTCTATACTCTGGGCAGTTTGTCTGCGCTTATTCGAGTCCGTTAGGCTCATGGTCTCGTCCTCATCAATACAGCGCTTGCGTCCAACGGTATCCAGTCTTTGCTTCAGCTGCTCGGTGTGTTCAAACAGGCTTTCAGCCATCGGCGATGACACACTGTTACCAGTAGCGTGGAGTTGACCCCAAACTTGCTGCCAAAGAACTCCTTGGCCAAGAAACATGTTCTCAAGCGCATCTAGGCGTCGATTGATGCGATCTATCGCACCTGCCTTGATGCCAGGCTTCCCTTTCTCCTTGTCATAAATGCAAATCAACCCGTTCTTGACACACTGTGAACAGGGTGTCTGGCGCGAGCATTTCGCTTTCTTCTTCCGGCATGGCTGGCATGCTGGTCTTGCGGCATCATCCCTCTTCGCATCGTTGCTGATAGTTTGGTCCTGGTCGTCGTGATCGGAGCTATCGCAATCCAGAGGGTCGTGGTGTTCCATCGATAGCTGGAGACTGACACATGAGCCAGTGCATGAGAAAGGCTCGATTTGATAGGATGCGAACCTTCTGTGCGGAGTGCAGGTGTGGAGAAAATGGTACGCGGCTGGTCTTGCCTGCCTCGGTCAAGGGGCGGGGTCCGGAACAACTCGCGGAGCTGTGCCCGGGGACATTTCCCCGCACCATGGTCTTCGCACTTCGCGCCTAACAAGTCCAGGTGAACAACCTCGCTGTGTTTTCGCGTTGATTAACATGCGCGCCGCTCAGAACCAGTGCGAGTTCCTGTTACACCGGATTGTTACATCTCTGTACATAGTAATGATGTTGACGGCGCGTAACTACGAAGCCATAGAATCACGCTCAACTCGGAGATGTGGTTACACGTACTGTAAAACGACTGACTTGTGACATTGAATTGTTTATCATATCCGACCCTTGATCGTTCAATCCCGGTCAACTAATTTAAAGACAACGTCCTCTACATGCTCGTTCGCAAACAGTGGTACAAAGTCTGTCACCATGTACCACTTCGGCTTGGCCATATCATCATGAACATACTGGCCACCAATCTTCAGATTCTCAATCTTGACGTTCTCAACTTTTCTTCTAGCATCATAACCCAAGATCTGCGATGGATTGGCAGTCTTTGACCCTTCTTGATCAAGCACAATGTTGCGAAGAGTTACATTCTTCACGCCTCTGCCGGGTGCTGTTGTCCACATTGCATTCTTCATGACTCGAATGTTGAAAAGCTGGCCTTTGGTAATTTTCTCCACGCGAACGTCTTCGATAAGAACGTCCTGAATGAGGTTCTCGTCAGCCGCATTGATGGAAATGCATCCTTGATACCACAATTGATATTCGCAATGATCCAAGATGTCGACGTTGCTTATCAGAATATTGCTAAACGTTTCAGGCTTTTGGGGGTTTCCATGAGTGCCTATTTGTACAGGATGCGCAATGTCTGGTAGCAGCGTACAATTACGGATGACGATATCTTTCGTATCGCCATAGTACTCCCAGCGATGGCCATAGATAGCGATTGTGTCGTCAGAGTTGCGCAGGAAACAGTTTTCGATGAGGACATTTTGACAACAGAAGAGATCCACGCCGTCGCCATTGCCATGGCCTGAGAACGAGCGGTACCGATTGATATGGACGTCCTCACCTTCGACAATAGGAAGACTGAAACCAAAGGAGCGGAGAGACGTCACTCCTTCCACTAGAATATTCTTCGATCGCTCGATCAGAATAGCTCCGCCGTCGAGTTCCCTCGGTCTTCCAGATGCCGAAGCCACGTACGCGCTTCCCGGTCTTGAAATATATCCCAGCCCTCGGATGCTGGAGTTCTTCACGTTCGAGAAAACTACTTGCGCAGTCAAGAATGCGCCGCTTGCCAGATATATCGTTGTATCTGATGGTACAATCAACTGCCCATCAACGACGTTTTCCCAAGCACGACCGTTATTGATGCCAGGTCCAAAGTACCACAGCCCCGTACCGTCGCAGTGAGGCTCATGGACGTTGATTCCATTCACAAGCAGATGTAACGCTTGCCACTTGTTCCCATTGATCTCGAGCATTGCATCAATGGCTCGATCGACAGTGAAATGGATGTACCCGTCATCGATCTTTGTATTTACTCCGAGCGAAGCAGGGCGCACACGAGCGGTGTTGACTGTAGTATATTTGTGTCGTATCTTCAATTGCAGGCTTCCACCTGGAGGAATGCTCAAAGATAAGACAGCGATGTTATGCGTGTTGAACTCGTTCCGCGTGATATTGGCGCTCGCTACGGACGTAACGAGTGCTGTTGTACCGTGCCAGGTATTCCCATGACTTTCGCTTGATGTTCTGGTATAGATCTCGAAATGGTCGTCCACCTCGATTTCATCCGGGAGACCACCGCAATTAATTTGGTTAAGATTTGCCATTTGGAGTTTTGCAGTCGTGGCATTAGATCGAAGAACATCTACCGCATATTTAAGTCATGCGGCGATTGTCGCTAAGCTTGACCAGAAGCGTAGCCTTCGGAAAAAGGCCCGGTGATTGATCCGTTCGCCGCGCGAGTGCAGTAGCTTCTTGATAAGTACATTGAATTGGTACAATCTGACTGACTTCATAGATTCGTATCTTTCCTAGATGAAATAACGCATCTCGACGAAGGGCCCCATTCTGTGCTCGGCGCTCATCAAGTGCGACTACCGGTAGGTTTGCACATCCGAATCCAGCCGTTCCAACCACAGCTTAATCTCGTTGAGTGAATTACCAGTCGCATGAAGCATTTCAGCACGACCATAATTTACAGAAGTCGTGACGAGTTGCCTTAAATTTTAGGGTCTCACCGGATCATTCACACTAGTCGCATGATACCTCGACCCCCATGAACTTGGTCGCGTTGCACCTGCTGTTGGTCTATAGTCCGCAAATACTATTACTTCGTGAATGATCAAACTTTCTTTTGCCTTCCATTGCTCAGCATTCTAGTGCTGTTTTTGAGCAAAGTTGATTATCTATGGTTTCGTGAAATGAAGTCCTATTAAAGCGGGAACACGGCTTGACTAGCCTGTTGCAACTAATATTGCGGCAACTTGGAAGATGGAGGAACATTGTCATAAGATATACTGTTTCTTGTTATCTACATTACATGACCTAGAATGACTCCTTGCTCAGTGTATTGCTGCGGTCTTGGGTTGCGACGTCGAACTGACCTGTTACGACAGCTACATCCTTCTTTTGTTGTTGGCTAGTAGCAAATTGCATGTGTCGAAGCCTTACGTCTTCTCCATCCAGAATGTGCTCTTCGCTTTCGTTGTCAAAAGTCAGATCTGTAGCGTTGTTTCGCGCTCTGTAAGCTGCCGCTCGGCTGACTCTGACAACACGTTCGCCACCGTCACCGAAGCCACCACCTATGGTTCTAAAGTCACTGCCTGGAGGCGGCTTTTGTGGCTTTGAATTGCTCGATCCGATCGTACTGGACAAGAATGGCGCGAACCAGTTCCTAAGCAGGGGAAAGATCATGGGTAGATTGGTGGTAAAGATGGCGATGAAGGTTTCACGAGTGCCCCAAGAGGCTGTGAGCTCGGCGCTGTTATAGGGATCCTAGAGGGCAGCCAATGTCATTAACGCGAAAATAGCGTTCAGTGGAAAGGGTCTTACACTGATCAGATAGAAGGTCTTAACTACCGCGCACACGATTACCAGCATGCCAGCGCCAAGTACTACCATGGACGCTATCTTCTTGTATCTCTTCATACTCGACTTCCATAACATCGGCATTGGTATCAACAGCAGGTATATGTCAGTGAGTACGTTGAAAACGAATGTTACCCAAATGAGATTCTTCGAGACCGCTGCTGTACATGCATTTCCGGGATCCGGATTGATCTGCCAGTAATGGTGAAAAGGCCGACAGGAAAAATATATCGTGAAGATTACGGCGATGAAGCTAGTGGCGATGAAACCGAAGGCGACACAAATGCGGGTCGCATACTTATAGAGACCGTTCTAATTAATGGTCGTCAGTCTAAGCTCGTGCATAAGGTGCGATGAACACACATACTGTAAGACGAAGGTAAAAAAGTGCGACGCAAAGCTTGAGTGACCAGAGCAGACATGCGGCGATTGTCCATCCTGCTACTTGGATTTTAGATCCAGTGACCCTGGAATTCCATTAGCTACAAGAGAGAATCTTGTTGCACCGTTGGCACTTTGCACTGGCTCCCAAAATACCTCATGCCATATTCGGGATCGTCTCGCGAAAGCGCACTGCGCTCTTGAGGTGTCATGCCATCATTTGCGAAACCATGAACATATACCCCCAAGCTGTACCCAAGGCTGCACTGAGCCGTATAGATGAGCTGGTGATGAGGTTGTTAGTAGAGTTCGAAAAATAGTTATGAATAATTCTAATTACTCACAATCGCGATCCACACGAGATAGTCGTCAACTTGAAGTTGGCGATAGCCTACCGCTGAAATCCTTGCGTACGTGCGCAAAAACGTGAAAGAGACGGCGAATGCATAAAGAGTCCACAGTTCCACAACACCCATGACGACACTTTCTTGAACAGCGTGCTCTGTCACAACTGAGTAGCAGTAATGCCATCGATCTCCAGAATCGAACAAGGTTGGAGAGCATGGTGACGGCACCGGATATATATCCTCTACCTCCCTGTGTTCGTGATAAGCCACAAACACTAGTTGAATGAGCACATTCTTCAGCTAATTGCATCTATGTGATCCGAAGTCACATTGAACGCCAAGCTTGAGTTTGCGGGCCGACCATATGCAAGGCGTAGTCAACTGAGCCGCACATTTGTTGGCTTGACTTGCGGTATATTGAAAATGCGGAGCAGGTCGTAGACGCGCGTCAGCGAATACGATATCAAAGCGGGTAAGGACCTCTATTGTTGAACCATGTTGAATACGACGGGCGACTGGCCGGGGAAACCAGGGCTCTGCATGAAGAAAAGACCGTGTTCTGGGATCCGTCCTTGCCGGGAGACATTATACCTAGGTACTTGGATTTTGATGCTCTCGAACCCGAGATGTCTCCTACATGACTTGTGCACTATTCTGCGCGATTTGAAGCATTAAAAGTGTATTCATTCAGTTCCCCGTCGATTTTCGAAATACTGATGGATGTCTGAGAAGCACGAGACGCGTGGTCGCATGGTGCAGTCAATTGCCGGCGGCAAGGTCGGCCGAAGGCAAAACCCGCAATTCTGGGCATGTGTGTAGACTGCTCCAGCTACGGGGATGTCTAAGCAGGACAGGACCGCCGCGCAGGCAATAGCCCGGGGCAAGCGGCTATTGTTGCGCAGGCGGTTGGCGGTGCGGCTCGCGGGATCTTGTCCGAGCGCCGAGCCAATCGCAGTACTGTAACGCCGGACCTCACAGGGGATCCTACCAGTTCGCTCGACAATATGCAGGCGCACGACTCGCAAATCTACAAGAAGCTCGCAGGATCAGTTCGCACCAATTGTGTAACCTCAGCTGCATGCTTCAATCTATGCTGACCCGCCTCCACGACGTCTGGACCCTGGAAATAAGGCCGCCGTAAGGCGGTGCGGACGTCTTCCTCATTCAGCATGGTGCTTTTCGCCCTCAATCAGTTGTTTTTGTTTTATTTGAGAAGGCTTGAGCCACTTCAGCACATTGGTAGCCTGCGTTTGTATCTCGCATCGATTGGCACAGCCATACCAGCGTCATGTATCCAAGCGTCCTGACACCATTGGCCGTTGCGGGCTGGATGTTAACGACATCCGCGCCAATCGTTTCAGCAGGTCCTACTTCGGCGTTCGACATCTTTACCAGGACCCCTGCATCAGGCGTGGATGTGAAGGAGCTGGCGCCGTACCTCTCCTCAAACGCCAAAATCTATTTACCAGGCACCAAGGAGTTTGCTACTTACACAACTCGATGGTCTAACCTGGAGGCTCCCACACCCAACGTGGTGATCGCTCCAGGTACCGAGAAAGATGTTCAAAAGATTGTGAGTTTTGCGATGGGCGTATCTGTCTATAAATAGGCAAGAATACATCTAACGCCGTGTCCTACAGGTCAAGTTTGCCAACGACTTCAACATTCCATTCCTCACGTACAACGGCCACCATGGGACACTCACAACCTTGGGAAAGATGGACTATGGTATTGAGATCTACCTTCCTCAATTAGACTCCTTCTCAATCGCCAAAGACGGAAAGTCGGTCACTGTAGGCGGCGGTATCAACGTGAAGAACATGACGGACGCTCTTTTGGCCGCTGGAAAGCAGACTGGTAAGCTAATTCACACTCACGATACTCTTGTCAGAATCTGACAATCTTTAGTGACTGGATGCTGCGAATGCGTCAGTTATCTGGGACCCGGCCTCGGTGGTGGTCACGGGTGGTTTCAGGGCCGCTACGGGCTCATTGCCGACCAGTTTCTTTCGATGAATGTTGTTCTTGCAAATGGCGACTTGAAGACAATCGACAGCAAGTCAGACTTGTGGTGGGGTATGCAAGGCGCTGGACACAACTTCGGTGTTGTCACGTCTGTCACCTCCAAGATTTATGACGTCACAAATTACGACTGGGCGATCGAGACCATCGTATTCAGCGGTGATAAGGTAGAGGAGGTTTACGATGCTGTCAACAAACATATCGTGCAAGATGGAAAGCAGGCTGATGACATTCACGATTGGACTTACTGGCAGAACGATGCAACATACAGCACTGAGGGGGTAAGATGATTGACGAGCACTCATATGATTTCCGCAACTAACACAAAAGCAGCCAGTGATCATCATCTTCATCGTTCAAGAAGGTGTTACTACAGTCGACACCAAATACACAACCCCCTTTCACAACATCGGTCCCCTCGCTACTATCCCCGAGTCCGGCACCTACAAGGATCTGGCAAAGTGGACTGGTATCGCGCTTGAGTCGCCTCCATGCCAGGATTTCGGCTTCAACAACCCTCGCTTTCCGATCTACATGACCTCATACAACGTCACTGCACAGCGAAAGGCCTGGGACCTCTACTCCTCAGCCATCAAAGGTGCCGACAACCCATACTACAACTCCATCTTCATGTTTGAAAATTACGCCAGTGCCGGTGTTCGCTTCCGTGATAACGATGCTAGCGCGTACGGCTTCCGCGACGCAACCACCCTCGCTGCACCTCTGATCATATACAACTCTACTGGCATGGCAGAGGACGAAGCGGTCAAGAAGCTCGGCACCCAGCTACGTGATATCATTCTTGAGGGAACCGGATCGCAGGAGCTACACACCTATGTCAACTATGCGTACGGTAATGAAGGTCCGGAGGCCTGGTATGGTCATGAGAGCTGGAGGCAGAAGAAGCTCAAAGCTCTCAAAAAGAAGTATGATCCAAAGGGAAAGTTCAGCTTCTACGCACCCGTGGCGTGATAGAAGAAGACTTTATAAAGTGACAATGATAATAAGTTGATATATCACGTTCATGCTTTTGGTCCAACTGATGGCAGCACCATGCGGCGTAGGCTACTATTAACACACAGACCGCCTGGACTACGACAAGCTGAGAACCCGCTCGATCATAAATTTTCTTTCCAGCTGTTGCGTACTGGTGGCGGCGTAGAACGTGGAGTTAGAGTCACGACATTGACCCCGTTAATGGCAAACTACTTCGATACGTAATACTCATTGACGATAGAAGTTATCCTGGAACAATGCATTGCCAGCTCTAATCTTCTACGATTTAAGCTATGTAGACTATATCTCCAAGCAGAAGGATAGATACTCTGCTCATACCCATTCGCTGTTTAGAAACGGGCAAGCTTGGATCCCATATATCGAGACTGCTGAACAGCCTTTTAGTCAGGCCGGCATTGCCGTGGATTAAGTGTACTTGAACTGTACACATGTTACACACACGTTGCCTGCGATACGCTCACCCGGTTTCATCATGACCACTTTCCGGAGATCTTCAGCAGAGCGGTAAGAGACTGGTAACCAAGCATTTACCTGTAGTCTTTTGAGTCCGGGAAAGTCCTGGAGGCTGAGATTGGATCTAGTAGTCCATACCTTCAAATGTTCGTCTTCCAAAGGAGCATCTCCAACATCATGGTTCACGAGAATGATGGACGTTATAGCCCTGCGAAATTCAGGCGGAAACTTGGCAACCCAGCGGCGAAACTTGGCGCGGCAATCGAAATAGTCGTCGGCGACGCACTTGAAAGAACCGAGTGACCATGGCAAGACGCGGCTCTCACCGTAGATTTGACGACAGACGAGCAGCAGGTCCCGGTGGTCGTTGCGATCAGCTTTGGGTATAAGATTGATCGCACGTGCTTCCGTATCGATTTTCCATATGTTGCCGCCCAAGGTGAGCTCGTAGATTCGGTTCCGCACCTCACCAGGAAGGTTGAGGAAGGGCGAGGTAGCAAGATTGTGCTCGGTGCTACAAGAGTTGAGAACATGAGGATGGCATTGCGGTTGAGAGACTTACATCTTTTGCAATTCGGTCATCATCAAAATCGGAGAGCTATAGCTGGAGAAAGGTATTGTAGTTGAAATGACCAGTGATTTGTAGAGGATCTTGTCCGGCTTGGTGGTGAGAGAGGAAGGTTCTACAGTTGGAAAGAGCCATAAAAAGCGACAATGTACCGACGGCGCTATAATAATCGTACTTCACTGGCAAAGCTTGGACTGCGCACAGGTCGAGTGAGAGTAGAGCGACAGTCACTCTCACCTTCGCAGCAGATTTGGCGATGGCGTGGGTGTGTCAAACGCCACTCCCACCTTGCAGCCAGTCCTTCCGCCTACCATTCTGGCAACATTTCGTCTCAACACCTAGTTAGTTAGCCATCGCAACAGACTATGTGACATGTCTCGCCGAGAAAGCAGTTCTGCGATTCTAGCTTGCGTTGGACGGACGCCCCGATGATAGTGGTCGTCCTAGTCAAGCTCGCGACTGTCTGCGCAGTCGGCCATGGTGTCGCGTCCAGTTGCAGGATGGTGGGGACTCGACAATAGGAGTGTAGAGAAGGTTTAATCTCAACGGCAGCGCTCTGGCACGCGAGACGGTAGGTGTCAAAAGTCGAGGGTGGAGTCTGATCTACCGGCTAGCGGGACGCGATCAGCAGATTGGGCAGACGCGGCCCTGAGAGCGGCCCAGACCATAGTCAACCGCAATGAAGCGCACACAGAATCACCGTACTCCATGCGATCTGGCGATATGCGCAACCACTCCTGGATGCGCTCCAAGGATCTGTGAGATCAAAAGACGGTAATCGAGATAGTGCAGCCGTGGACAAAGTGCTGAGCGTCATGACGACATCATGAAGCGCGTTGCATCCCATGCGCGCGTCACCTTCTGGCAACGCCCTCCCGAACAATCGCAGGTAGTTGTCGATACCATCAAGATAAGAGATATCACAACGTCTAAGCGACTTGAGCGTCAACAAATCTCGATATAAGCATGCCTTCCGCCGGATTGAAGATGCGCGATGTCACTCCGACGATCACCACCTTCTCCACGCCATTCAACCGCTTCGCGCCGTTCGGGTACCGCAGATTCGTGGCGGTAGGCAATCGAGCCACAGCCATCCGATTACACGACAACCGAATACTTCTCCTCAATCCTATACAACTGGAGGACGCGGTGCGCGACAAGCTTAATCAACTGGGCGGCGTCCATCTCATCGCGAGTGACTTGGGGCATCATATGTACGTTAAAGACTATGTTGATGCATGGCCAGAGGCAAAGACTATCGGAGTTCCGGGACTGAATAGCAAGAGAAAGGACGTGAATTGGAGTTATATCTATAAAGACTGGCGGACAAGTCCGGAAGACCAGTTCGACTTTGCGCAAGACTTCGAGACTGTGCTATTCGAGGGCTTCATTACATACTGTGTCGCTTGGTACCATAAGCCAACCAAGACACTTATACAGTCAGATCTCATGATGAATCTGCCATGTACAGAGGTATGTTTGCGTGCATATCCACCACATTGTACTGACACTGACTTAAGCCAGCAATACCATCCCAGCTCGTCAGATCAAGGTCCACTATCGCGCGAGTTTGCAAAGCGCGCACACCCTCGATCGATATGGGCGAAGCGCCTCGTCTATTACATAGCGACTGTTGATTACACTTTGATGCGGCGCGATGCGAAGAAGGTCGCGGAATGGCAGATGGACCGAATCATCCCATGTCATGGCGACGTTCTCGAGAGTGGTGGAAACGAAGCTTGGTCATCGGTGTATGAGTGGTTTTTGAAGGGCACAGCCAAGCCAAGTGTGATGAAGAGGCTCACGAACCCCATCATGAAGGTTGCGAGGAGAGTGTTCCTGATGTAAGGCGTAGTCGTACCCGCTATATCTTCTATTATCGACGACTTAAATACTGGATGCGTCCTTGAGAATAGACCAGCGTGGGAGGTGAGATGCATCATCCCTGGAGATGTATCTTCACTCATTGCTTACGGAGCGATCCAGGAAGTCCGTAGCCATGACGGGGCGAGTGATAGTGGTAAAGAATATCTCTGTTGCGCCCTACCTTGATAGCGTCGCGGTTCTATTGTCGACCGATTATGCCAGGCAGCGCTTGTTATTGAACACCTTCACAATAAGGTTTTCAGAAGCTTCTGCAAATGTACCAGGGACCATTTCGTAAGAGTTCATCGCACTGATCTTGGCTATCGCATCAACCTTTCCACATGCGATTCAGGTTTGTGAGCTGGTCCTGGAACCACTTTCTTGACTTCTGCCTGATGTGGCGCTTCTTTGTCTTGTTAGTTTTCGTTGTCTGTGGAGATCTACCCGTTATATGGAAGCTAGCGGCGTCCCCGTGCGGAGCTTCACCATCTTCTGGCCCCAATACTACATGTGGCAATCGGTCGTTCGTCTCCTTCGGTCTTGTTTCTGCTGTCGCGTCTGCTGCGAGTATTCCGAAATTGCCCTGTCCATCTTTGCTCGGTGCGGCATCCCTACGGTCTTCGCTTTGCTCAGCATTTTCCCGTCTCAATCTTTGAGATCTCGTCGGCATTACTAGATCGGTATCGCTCCCATCTTCCGTTGTCGTGTCTGGGTCATCGATCGTCGGCTCGCGTGCCACTTCATACAGACTTAGATCTCGTGGCGCTCCCAATGACGGCGCAGAATCGTCTCGTCTAATGTATGCCAAATCTTGTGAGAGCTCTTGGGGATTCGATTCTTTCGGGATAGATTCCAGAATGTTCCAGAGATCAGCTTTGATGCGGTCAATCGTTGCCCGATGTTTGGGCGCGCATTGAAGCATCTTCTCCTCGATGATACGGAGTAAACCCTTGGCAAATGTACTCTGATCACTTAGACCCTTCAAGGTTCTCAGTCGCTGTGAAGTATCAGCTCAAAACTCTGATTACTTCCAACAGTCTCACCTCTTCCACTGCGTTCTTCACATGCGACTCCTTTTGTCCATCCTCGGTTTTCTCGATGTTGAAGAACTTCTCGATCTTTACTCCTTCATAAGTTGGCAGATCTTCGTCTATCCTCTGGAAACTAAAAAGTTCAACTTCTTCATGGCCTTGCAAGTACCAAACGCAGAACTCTAGGAAAACGCATCCCAAGGACCAAATGTCGTACTTTTGAGAAATTCTCTCATCCATATCTAACTCGGGTGGTCGATAAGCCCAACTATGCCCATCGATATGTGAGCGCGGAACGATGGACTTCGAAAATTGGGAATGGTAGCGCGTGAGACCAAGATCTGACATCACGAGAAGGTTGTGATCGTTTCCATATTCCTCAAACCACAAGATGTTCTCAGGTTTGATGTCACCATGTCTTCCCCAATCTCGCTCAGCTTCCATGAGTGACCCTGCCAAAGACGACCTTTGTCTCATCTGCCATGTGGTAAGCCCATGAATCCGGCTGACTGCTCTTGTGAGCCCAAGACATTGTTGGGCAGCCCATCTCTCACGCATACTCGTGCGCGGTCCAGGTGAATGCGTTCTCCAGAATTCATCGAGGTTGCCGTCGGCCCATTCGAAGAGCAGATAGAATTTATCACCATGTCGGAACGTCAGCAAAAGCTTAATGAGGTGCTTCTCTTCTTGAACTCGCGCACAGGTCTTCTCGAGTGCAGAAAGTTCTTCTTTGTAAGCCTTGTGGTCCTCTGCTTCTATAGCCTTCAAAGCGAATACCGGATTGATTCCAGACTGCAGAAATTAGTCATGACCAGGAAGTGAACAGAAAATATGGACTAACATTGGACCTTGCAAAGTTATGGTGAGACGAGTGTATCTCGACCTTGTGAATAGCACCAAAGCCCCCATTGGTCTTGTGCTCGAACGACTTCCAAGGTAGCCTGATGTCTGACCCGAGGTCGTAGGAACACAATTGGTGCTCTTTGATGTCGAAGAATGGTACGAAAAGCATCTTCTGATAAATAAAGAATAGCTCAATCTCATTCCTACTCCAGTTTCCCAAAGTAAATGCTCTCTCTGAATTGCGGGTTCGAACAAGTTTGTTAAGAATACTTGCTGAACGCTCGAGCGGGAGGTTGATATCCCAGATATCTTCTTGTATGAAGTTGTCGATGTAGTTAACGCGTGACATGAAGACCAAGACACCCAAAATTCGTCGCCGACTTCTACCTGTCTCGGAATCTACTATCTTTGCAAACTTGTCTCTCAACTCCTCGTTTGTTTTCAAGTGGCATGCTTCTTGCAAAAGCATGGCGATCGACTCCGAATCGAATATCGACTCAAATCTATCCAAGGGCAGATATTCTTGCTTGTCAAGTGCACAGCAAACCAGAGCTCGCTCGATTTTCCGTTGGAGGCGATTCTGGACAGATACGGACCTTGATGACACCTGCGACCGAAACACGTGATCGAGCTTCCGCTCTCGGAATAAATCCTCGATAGGACTAGATAACACTGAGTCGCAATCGCTGGTTCCGCGAGGGATTGCTGAGAAAAGGGCAGCAGCGGCCTCAAAACCTAGATCGTCGACTCTATGGATCGAAGACTCTTCTTCACTTCCTCTACTTTCTGAACCAGTCAAAGGTCTCCTTTTGTAGTCGCCATCATGGGCTAGGCGAGTCCGTCCTTTATCATCACTAATGTTGATAGGTGGGCTACCGTAAGGATGCTCTTCGGTGTTGTAGCGGGTATTGATGAGATTTGGGACTGTAAGTGATTTGCGTGGTGGCCGGGAACGCGGTTGCAACGAATCGGGGTGTTCATTGTCCAGAAGGGTATGCGTAGCTCGATGGGAATGCTCCACTGCCAGCGTCTCGTATGTTCGCATATCGCTAAGAAATTTCGGTCATTTCCAAAAAGACTAGACGCATTTGTGAAAGGTGTTACAATGTTCAGATGGCGCATCCAAGGAGAGCGCGTCTCTTGCGAGACACTGGACTTAGTCTTTAAGCCTATCAGTCGGCTGAACCCTCGTGCATATCCGACCGACCACACCCTGTTCAGCCTCCATTTCACCATCGGAAGGTGTGCGGAACGGGAGGTCCGTGAGAAGAGCTACATCTCTGATCTGGACAAGATTGGCGTTGGGGGCCAAGCCAATGCATTTGGTGGCGCGAGGCTGAGAAGCAGCACCGCCCCCGCATCGTCGATCTAGAGCCGCCTGAAAAATCATAAAGAGGGCACAGTGTCCAAGAAAGGCCTCCAGCGGATATTCGCACCTGTTGAGTATGTATCAGTGGATATTCATGACGTTATTTGAGCTTTTGGACGGTCAGTTGCGAGTTGTGTTAGGCCCGAAGCAAGTGGTAGGGGAAGGCGATTGACATTCATGTTCCGACGAAGCCACCAGCGCTTCCGATGGTGCGGTCGGAAAGAGGGCGCGAGGAATACAGCCCGAGTTGCAAATCTCAAGAAACAAAAATTATGGACGTTTGAAATGTTCGAGAACGATGTTCTGGAGTCATCTTGGAGGGCTGACCATGGGGCAGGACCGCCTGACTCACTTGCGAGATCCCTCCCGCTCTACATCTCTAGGCACCGGATCACTCCCGATTAGTATAATGGCTGTTTTGTTGCCTGGCCAAGCCAAAAGGATGATTCGCGTGGATCGCGCAAGCCTCTTTACGCCCCCAATATGTGGTGTATGCAGCCACGTTCAGCACAGCCATCTTGTTGGCGGTCTCATTTAGCGCTTTATTTTAGCATGACGCGATCAGCTGGACCCCTCATTGTCTAACTAGACCGACGCCTGCAACAGGTAAGTGTCATCCGAAGTGCGCATGGGAGGACTTTTATTAGCCACAGTCACTTGGCATATTCTCAATCTTTGTTTCTTCAGTTCAACTCTAGCCTTGCTGCTTCCAAAACATTCTTGCTTCCAACTGAAGTTGAATACAATGTCCAATTGCCAGTTGAGACCAGTGCGCCAGGATCAGAGTGTAACAGTGTATACGGAGCATACAGATCGCATTCATCCTCGGGATCTTTCGAGGAGCCTTGCGGCGAGGGTGGGAAAAGACAAATTCCGCGTTTCATTGCGAAAGAACATATACATCATTTACGTCGATATGCGGATACATGAAGACGAAGACGTAAGTGTACCTCTTCGAACGCAAGACTTCGCTAATGAAGGGATGCAGAAACAAGACGTGCTCTCAGACGATGGGGAAGAGCGAGGAAGGTGTACCATCGAACCTCCGACATATCAGCAGAGATTGGCAGATTTCAAGACGGCGCAAAAGATATTATGCAGTGCGAGGCTGCCGCATCAGTGAGGATTGCTGGACAGAACGATAGTCGGAAGGGAACAAAGCAGCGTTCAAGATTTCATAATCCGTTGCTATTGAAGCTAGGAACTTTGAGGTCTTAGCCTCACATCTCGTTGTATCATGGCACTTTCTTATCCGCATAGTTTGTAGTATGTAAACGTTTTAGATAATAGCCTCCTATTTTGGTCGGTTATTCCAATCATCCCGATACCCAGATCATGATAAACACAGACGTTTGAGAAATTGCTTGAGTGTCCACGTATATATTGATAGGCGAGCTGCTAATAGATATCCACCCAGATTCCATCTTCTTCAAGAACGATACGATCGAGCGAGGCAACTCCTACTCTTTGCCACAAGAGTCCCAAGGAATCGTGTAATTGATGTATCACCAACACGTGGTTCTTCGAGCTCACTTTCTCACCATTATCTTTGTCTCTCCCAATAATAACGCACCGTAGATCGTCCACCGCAAAGTCCTCATCCCCATCGAATGTGACGTTGGTCAGCATATCTAGCTTTGAGACCAGCATCTTCCTTGCTCGTCCCGAAAACGCTACTATGTCGTCGTCCTTGACGGGTTCCTTTCGGGTTACGAAGGGATTCTGAAAGTCGTCAGTGGCCCAGGAAACGTTCTCGAATCTCAATTCATTCGTTGCATCCATGTATTGTATGCTGCCATGCTTTGAGAGGGAAGACCAGCTAGGAACCCGGCGACCTGGTGGTTGGACGATGGGCTCCATGCGCTGCCAATGGCGACGCTTCCAAAGCAAGCCTCGAGCGAAATATGCATCGAAGAGTCCGTGAGCTGCTTTGGTGTTGAATGCACGTGAGAGCCGCTTTTGCAGACCTAGTATCGCGATGGATCGATCGGCAGGCATAGTGAATGCTAATCCTGAGTATCGTTCATACAGATCTTGTATAAGTAGCTGCCTGCCATCTTTGTAGTGGCTGACGGCGGATGTCGGGAAATTTGCATCACCGAGTAGAGCAGTAACCTTAGGACTGGATCGAATATTAATTGGGTAGGCTGAAGGATAAGACCGGGAAAGCAGACTTACTTCTTAAGAACAGCCAAAGTCTCACAATGTATGCCAGCACCGCATTCCCAGTACACCTGTGTGGACGTGAAAAAGATGGTGCGACGTGACAGCGCCCTCTCTTGCAAAACCCAGCCTCGGCTGTTGAGTGGCGAAAGCTCCACATCGCTTTGAAAATCGTCGATATCAACACAGGCATATATGGACCTCGATACATCGTTCGGTACTTTCACTACAGATCGAGGAATTCGATTTGTAAGAAACCCCTGCAGCGATGATTTGGCGGCGCTTGCGCCGATAGTGCAATATGCAGCGCTGAACACCTGTTCCATCTTGCTTGCCTCACTCTGCCAATCATCTTCATCGTCTTGAATGATGCACAGTGAGTCAATCCAGATGTAGTTGACCGAGAGACCCCGCGTCACAGTGACAGCATCGCGAAATGTACATGGTAGAGCGTCGAACTCGATGGCTGCCTTGCGTTGCGAGACATTCCACTTGTAAGTACAGAACCTTTCGTGTTTTTGCAGGGGTCCCCAACAATGACTCAAGGCGACATATCGGGATGGTTCGATTGTTGCTGTGTCAACGAGGCGCATGTGGTCGCCCACCTCTATGAGTCGAGTAGGCATAGTGAGTGCATCGTCGTCATGCTGACAGATAATATGATCTGAGTCACATACTCGGATCCATTCGTTTAGAAGCGCAAAGAACTCGGACGTATCTGGATTGAAGAGCTGTGTCAGACCCAGCTGTGCACCACTAGAAACCTGTACACCTTGTTCTACACGGCGAGTCAGTATGTATGATAACACTAGCTAGAAGATATCTCACCGGGTTCGCAATACAGAGAAAGAAGATTGGGTCCGTCTCGGAGACCTACATGAGCAGAGTCGCTACGTAGGTTGACTACTCCTAGTGGCGGCCTCACATTCTTTCGAGTCAAGGCATCCTGAAGAATGCCACACAAACCGCATGTTTTTGCATTCTCCTGCAGTACTGCAAGGTCACATACTGTGTTGAACAAGTTCACTATCTCCCTAGAGTAAAAGTGTCCGCAAGACTTCGAAAGTGCCTTGCTTGGTGTTGGTCTGGCTCGGTGCCAGCCTATGACATCGAAATACCCAGCGGCAAAACCGTTGTCTGGAGAAGACGTCCAGTCGTCGTTGAGGTTATTTGGTTTCTTTGACTAAGGGTCACTATCTTGATTGTCCACTGAATTCATGTGCACTTACAAACTGTGAATGGTTAGCGTGTCCAAAAGATATACCATCATATACTTACCATCTGTCATGAGTTGGTGTTACCTCGTCAACAAGCAATGGTGAGTGGAAAGGGATGATCACTAACATTCTGCATCGAAGTTGATCAGCGTCCCTTCAATCGTTCTCAAGAACCAGCGTTGCTAACATACTGTTGCATTCTCGTTAGTGCTTCTTCTTCAATTGTCTTTGATACAAAGATTCGGGGGAAACATACTTCATGATGGTTGGACACTTGTGACGTCTGAGGTGTCAAACTACCGCTGTTCAAATCCATAGTTGCAGCGCGAATTGCAATCCCAGGGATGTCTTGGTCCGGGTCAGATATACCTGATTGAGTTATCTGCGCGATGTCTTCCGGCATTTGGTTCGAATGTAAAGCATGCTGAACATTTGAATGCTGCCCAGGCACGGCGAGATTACCATCCTTTTCGTGGACTTCGTTGCGTTGAACTCCGTTTCGGTGAGTTGCTTTTCCGTCCAGCTCAGCCTCAGGGTATCTGAGCTTTTCTGTGAGAGGTTTCAGGTAATCGCTATTGAACTCACACCTCTGCACAATCTTCGCAAAGTACTCGTGCACCTTCGTCGCACCCTCTCGACAATCGTCTGGTACATCATTGTAATTCGCAGAGTATTTGATGACGAGCAGTCTGTTTCGAACAAGGTTAAGCAGGTCCTTGTACGCTGTGCCAGGCTCTAAGTCGCGATCCAGTGTTTCCATGATCGCAACAACATATTCGTGGACTACATATTCGTTGTTCCTACGCCTGTGGTGCTTCTGCCAGAAGTAAGGCGTGTTGTTTCTGAAGATAGTGATGTCACTCGGACCATAAGCAAGCCACAAGAGAAGTTCGAAGACGATGCATCCTAGAGACCAAATATCATACTGGCGTGATCGGGGGTCCTGTGAATTACGCTTTTCATCCATCTCCGGCGGCTCGTATCGAGACGTGCCAGAAGGTGTCTGAGTAGGCATCCCTTGGCGGTTTCTTGTGTCTTCTTCCTTCTTGTGGAAAGTGGCGAGACCCAGGTCTGCGATTTGCAAGATTCCTCCGTCGTTCTTTGGATCAAACCAAAGAATGTTTTCGGGCTTGAGATCTCCATGTCTAACGTTGCGGTTGTGAAGTTCCGTTAGAGCGGAACAGATACCAACAAACTGACGAAGCTGCCATAGGACATGGCTTCGGTTTCTGGCTTGCAGCGGGAAGTCCTTCCAATAGCCACCCAGATTGCCTCCTTCTGCCCAGGGAAACATCAGGCATCTGTCCTGGCCATTTTGATATCCGGAGATTGGTTTGATCAGATGTGGTGAGTCGTATTCTCGCACCCGTTTTAGGTTGCCGACTTCTTTGTCGAAGAACTCGGCGCGGCTGTAGTTGGGATCATCCTCGCCCTCTTTCGTCTTCTTGACTGCCACTGCTATGGCGTCTACCTGCATGAGTTCTTCGCCCTCAACAGGATTCTTTGAAGTCCAGATCATGACGGGGAGCTCTATCGACGGATGGATGTGCTTGGCGTGAATGATGTTTTTTGACACCTCTCCAAAGTAACCGCTGCTCGTAGGTTTTGGAGCGACTTCCAGGTAGGGTAGTCGTTGCCCTTCAGGAATAAATTGATGGAAAGTATTCGGTGAACCAAAGACTGGAGCAGTGAACCGCCGTTGGTATTCTTCGAAACAAACCTTTTCTTTTCGTTTCCACTTTATGGGCAACGGGTATCGTGTGGCACTAGACGGGTCTAGTAGGCTGTGTGCTGAATGATTCCGGTGGTCAACCCGAATTGGTAACACACTATCATCGAACCCCATGTCTTGGAAGTGTTTGAGCTCTTGTTCCAGCGCATCGCTCTCCATCATCACGAGAGTGAGGAACAATCGCTGCGCATCCCCTTGGACGAATCTGACAAGATCTTCCATTCTATCGAAGAATTGAGTGTGCCCGACGACGCGTCTGATTCTCTTTGCTTCTACAAACCCGGCTATCTTATCAGCGGGGAGAAATGCCTCATTCTTGGAGTTTGTGCAAGACGCTTTTTCGATCGCTGAGGCTAAATCCTCAATAGCCATCTCGGTAGCATCCATTAAGCTATCAGCATCTGAGTCTTGCGCTTTTGAGGCACCCGAGGCCAAACCATCAGCAATAGAGCTATGCGGAGCTGAGATGGCTACATTAGTATGTTGTGCAGTGGTATCCTGCGCAGTCGGGGTAACAGTCGATGACATGGGGTTTTCTGAGATGGAAGTTAGAGTCGAACGACAAGTGAGGCACCTTCGGACGTACGAGAGACATATTCTTGGCCTTTCGGCTGGCCTGACAGACGTTCCTGAAACACCATGATTAGAATGTCGACGATTGGCTAAAGATGGTAGTGAAGCATCAGTCAGGTCTGAGTTTGTACACTCATCTAGGGACAATCAGGCAGCCTTCACGCCAGGCATCTTTCTTGTTCTTATCTTTGCCTGGAGGCGTGTGTGCGATGAGGCTGAAAATTAGGCAACGCAAGCGCCATGATGCAAGGTAGGCCATATGTCTGGTCACTACCTACAAGATAGAGCGCCCCGCAGATACATTGGTTCTGATTTGTGGTCATTGCGGGGTTGTGCAGCCACCATGCCCTTGAGTAAGCGGGCTGAATCGAAGGCAGACGACTATGGGATGTGGCTGCATTGCAGACTCAGCTCCCCGACGAGGCTGGCCAATCTTGAAGCTCCGCGATATTGCACGTGCGCATCGCAAAGTGCAGCTCTCAGCAGGAGGACCCCAAACAGGCATCAGCTGAGAAGCGTGACTGCGCTGACCGGAAAGTATATCCCCAGATCATTCTTTCCCATGGCGGTCAGACTTTGGGTGCGGGGTGTGGCATGGTGGCAGTAGATGACGGAAGGTATCTGCAGCGACGTAAAACCGGCTGACTTCGCTGCGCCTTTGGGGTCCATTCCAAGGATGCCAGCCTCTATGTCTCCTTCCATAAGCAGCAACGGCAAGGATGAAGACGGTGAACGCGAGGATTGTCTTCATGGCCTAGCTGAACTTCCCTATCATGAGCGTCTAACCCGCTTCTTGCGTGGTGCCACAAGACACTGGGTCGCAGGCGACATCTCTGTCATCGATTTCCGGCCTTTATACACCGTTACACTCTACGATCTGCAGCGAAAGCTCGCTCAAGGGATTCAAAAGGTCGAGGGGGGGAATATTACAGATGAACAGTTGAGTCGCATGCGAGGAACCTTGCATGAGTATAGTACGTCATCCTTGACGCTAACCGCACTGATCTGCTTACCTAACACCCCACCCAGCCAATGCGCTCCGTGACTTCGAGTTTATCCACGCCAACCGCTGGTCTACCCAATTCGTGAAGGACATCGCAGCGTCTCGTATTGACAATGGCAGCGGCTCCAAGCTCCAGAGCGCATTAATTTCGGACTTCAACCTCACCGTTCCGAGCACTCACCGCAGCCTGTTCCGCGATGCGGATCTCCTCGGATCTTTCGACCCGAAGCTCATGGAGCACAGCAATGCCCTCGGACAAAGTCTAGGCACAACTCGCGCGCATGCATTCGCAAGTGAACAGCGAAGAGAACAGTTTGCTCTAGCGTGGAAACGATTTGCTTCTGCGTTCGTTGGTGGCATGATCATTGTTGTCCCGATGCTGATATTGCTTGTGGGGGATGTGAAGACGAAGACGTTGGCGGTCATCCCGACGTCGATACTGCTGTTTGCAGTTGGTGTAGCACTATTTGCGAAGACGGATCCAGTCAATTTATTGGCTGCGACGGCAGCGTATGCAGCAGTCTTGACAGCATTCGTCAAGCTAAACTGATAGATATTGCGAGGTCATAATACAGACTTGGAGTATACCACCTTTATTGAATACCAAGCGCCATTGACAATAGCAGACTGAGAGTATTTCCATTCAACTTCCAGAAAACTTGGATGACTACTATATCATACCCCATCGCCGAACACAACTCGTTCGAAAGCTCTGTGAGCCCATTCAAAGAATAGTGGTATGCTGCTAGCTTCGAAGGCTGGGAGAACTGCGCTGCCTGACCAGGCAATGTTGGATGTAATGCGCATGACCACGACACCAAGTTACCAGCGACCACTTCACGCCTTCCTTGTCGGCCTAGAGGCGACGATCCACTGCCTGATTCGCAACGAACACAATGCAGCCCTTGTCCGAATACATCCGCTAGTCATTCACCAACTATCCTTACGAACCTTACTCATCCTCAACCACTCTACCGCAGAGTGCATCTCCGGCCTAGATCCATACCACAACCACTTCACACCCGCCATTACCTCCCTCTGCACGACGGTCCTCCGCTCGAGAAACCTGACGAGAGAGCTTCTACCAGGGCTAAGCATACTGAAGGTCTCGAGCTCATAGGGAAGAAGAGCTGTCTCTGCGTGGACCTGCCGGCAAACGAAGAGGAGACTCAGATAATTCTGGAGCGTATGTGGAAAGCGAAGTTCAGAGTGACGAAGCAACTCGATGTCTTGGCCACAGTCCAGGGCGAAGGTCCAAATCATGTTGCGAATTTCAGCTGGGAGACGTAGGAGTGGTGAGTTCATGGTATTGCACCGAGAGCTGGGATGGTTTGTCAGATTCGTTACTTCCACTGGTTCACAAAAGGTTGGTTTTGCTCACATCTCATCCCGTGTCTGCATCACGTGAGGTGCAAAACCGGATTCGGTGCTTCTCCGGTTCAACATACTGGAGTCATGAATGGTCGGCGGAATGAGCGATTGTGGAAGAGGAGTCGGAAGTCTTGTGCAGGGGAGAAGCAGAGTTTTATGCTGAGTAGGTGTGCCACACCTACGATAAGGGGGTAGTGAAGGTGGCTGGTGCCCTTACTCTATTTTGGGAAGGAGACCCGACGCCGAAGTTTTGCAGCGTAAGACCACCTGGCAATATCGCCGGCGATCTTACATCAGTGTCATGTCAATGGCCGGTATTGGACACGGAATGTAGTCAGCGTGTGGATTACACCGTTGTGTAGTCTATCTCAAATCTAGGACTCGTCCATTCACGGAGAACCTTGCCATCGTCGAGAAGTCCTGCACAAGTTGACAATATCGGGTTTTCTCAAAGTTTCGTCGCCTGCGCAGATATCTCCATGGCCTGGGAGATAAGGAGGTGTCTCATGCCTCTTAGGGGAGATCGGATAGTCATCAAATGTTCAAAGACGACTCTATGGCAGATCTCATTCTCATTCAAACTACCCTCGCCAAAGACAACATACCGGATAGCGACATTTCCGCCGGTAGCGGGCTCTTGTAGCCTCCAGGCTCGATGTAATCCGGAGAACACGGTGACAGAACCCAACCTGCGCTGGCTGTCTTCCACAGCCGTGTGGTGGAGGATATGGACATATGGTCCCTTTCAATACAGTTGATTATGACGGAACTTCATCGCATTTTGATGAGACGCGACTTCGATGGGGTCCATGTCTCTTCACACGACCTTCCCGGCAGTGTTGTTCCAATCTCCAGTTCTTCACAGACGCGTCTTTCGTTGCATCGAGGCCGTTCAAATGGCGGGTTCTGCGATTCAACGGGAAGTTCGATATTGCCATGGTAGGTGGGGTGCGAAAGTGGCGGCCATCTTTTTTGCGCTGGTCAACCCGTCCGTGGTTGACGAAGAACAGGTCTACAATGCTTACAGCCGACATTGACTCTCAATAAGAAGACTTGTAAACATGAATAGTATTGTAGCCTTCTAGATTCCCTATTTATACCAATATAGCTCTTGATATGGTGTTTTGTAGTAGGAAGTGGTATCCTTAGATTAACGGATGTTATCTCTCTCACAACATGCTAGGACTGAGTCTTGCGACGAACGTCCTTGGCCTGCTCGAGAGCAGCCGCATCAACTCTCTCTTCTTTGCTGCCTTGCGGCTTCTCTCCCGCTTCCGAGTGCTCCTTGTCATCTTCATTCTCGGCCTCTTCTTCGCTACTCCAGCCGTTTTCCGCATCTTCCATCATTTGTAGCGCGCTCGTAGTCGACAAAGAGGGCCTATCAACCCTTGGTGTAGGCGCCATAACGTTCGCAAGACCAGGCACAGCCTCGAGCGCATGGCAGTATGCCAAATACAGCGCAGGTGTATGCTCAGAGAGGTGGCAGATGAAGTCAGGCTTGATGCCATGCGCCGATGCGATTCTATCCAGTCCGCCATGTGTACGTATTTGCATGTGTATGTGTGTGTATGTGTGTGCGTATCGTTTGCTGTATGCAGGCTTTGTCTACTGATGTAGTGTTGTATGTGACGAGGAGTCGGCCGCATCGCTGCATGTAATCTTCCCATGCACTCTTGGCTTTTGGGAAGGTTGTGGTGATGATGCAGTCGAGGCTTAGAAGATTGGTATAGTTCGAGGACTCCCAGGTGTTGACCGATGCGTTCTTAGCCGTATCGAGATTGTTCATGGTGACGAGTTCACGATTTGATCGAGAATTTCAGGTTGCGGTAGCGGGTGCGATGCGAAAGTGGCTTTCTTTTTAGCGCCGGTCAAACCGTCGGTGGTTGACAAAGAGTCGGTCTACTATTTGTGAGGATAGAAGTGATGGGTTGATGTTACGGAGGATTCTGGCTATATAGGTAGTAAGCTAGTGGCTGCGGAAGGCACTGATAACAACCCGGGAGATGGCACCTTCTCGTCATACCAAGCTTACATGGTAAACAAACAATGTGCGGCATCCCAAAGTTGCAATTACCTGCATTGTAATTACCTGAGATAGCATGTTGCGCATGCCTACAGATTTACAGTTCCACGTCGATCTCGTGTCGTAAATGTCTTGCCTAGCTAATACCTCCTTTCGCTCCACCTAACCTCCTTCCTCGATATCCAGCTGCGCAAGCCATCAAAAATCCTCTACAATTCCGACAATGCGATGAGTTTTCCCGCTCCTTGAAGGTGCGGTCTGGATTCCTTAGTCAACACGTCTCTCCCGTCTCATGCAGATTTCTGATATCTTCGATTGCAGACACGCCACCAGCAACTACTCACTCATCTATGACATCGACTAGCTTGGAGAAGCTTTATCCGATTACGCCTTGGAAGAGTATGCTTAGACGTCCGCTTTTCCGGCGACTTCTCCGCGGGTTAAAGCGAGGGCAAAGACCTGGTTCCTGAGTTCGACAGGAAAACGAAGAAGTGGTAATGAAATCTTGTGCGTGGGACTGATTGTATTTCAGGATTAATTCCAGGATCCATCAGAGGTCGACACATATGACATAATTTCTTTCTCGGTCATTTTGCGCGCGTTCAAGCGTTTTGTGTTCCACTCAATGGTAGTTCCGATCTTATGTGTGAAAGATTCCAGCTATGGCGACGATGGTGATAGGGTAGGTGTCAGTGGCTCGTCATCTATGGATCACCGCAGTATCATATGTGAGGTAGGATGTACCGGTAGAAGTAACTATTTGAATGAATAACTAAATCCCACGTTCAAATGAAGGATAACGTTATGAGCATTATAAATATGACTGGGAAGTAAAGGATTATACGATAACAAAAGTCCCATAATTACACAAAGAAAAATGAACAGAGACGACCTAGTCTGATCATCTGTTTTCCCTTACAGCCAACGCACATGACGTATACAGCTAATAGAGTGGCTGCAGAATCTTACAGCTATTCTGACGTCTGGGTGGTCGTTGTCTGTGCTGTTTTTTCGGAGTCTTTTTTCGGTTTTGAAACAGAATTGCCCCAAGTCTTGACGCGGAAGAGATAGTAAGTCAGAGCAGCAACGAATATGTTGAAGATAACGTATGCCCATACGATACCAAAGTTGCGCCATCGCTCGGTCCAGAATATCTTCGAGCCTTGAAGGAACTGGTCGGCAACCGTTACCGAACAGTATCTGCATTGCTGTGTATCGTCTGGATTCTGCAACTGACCAATCGCACCCTCCAGGAAGCCTGCAAGGTATTGCCCGCATGTCTGATTCTCAGGTGGATTGAAGATCATAGTTTCCGCTTGGGAGCACTCCACGAGCCTCGAGTGTAGCATTGTTGACACGATGCCACCAATCCAGTATGTAAAGGGGCTAACGCGATACATGAAGATCCAGAATCCGGGCAGCGCGGTTGGACTCTGCAATACACCGCAAAAGACGATGCTCATGAGTGTAAGCATGATGACGACTCCAGATGCCGTGACAGTATCTGGTAATGCAGCTATCGTCATGCTGGCAAAGGAAGATGCGAAGACGAAGAACTGAATGCTGTAGAGGAGCACAAGCACTTGGCGTTCTGAAGCTTGAACTCCAACGACGGGGTAATAGAAGCAAGCATAGAGAAGGATTCCGGAGATGATCTGGTAGGGAAGTTCGACGATAATGTTGGCAAAAAGGAATGCGCGCCAAGAATAAGCTTTACTGGGTCGCTCGCGGACTTCGTATAGCGCACGTTGCGTCACAAAGAGGGGTTGGATCTGGATGACGATTAGTTTCAGCGCTTACCCAGAACAGAAGGCTGAGTATTGACAAACCTGTTGAACTAAAGTAGAGAAGAGGGCTGTAATCATAAAGATGGCGAACATTACATTGGCCATCCCTGCCTGAGTGGCGTTGACATCGTAGAATGTGAATCCAACGAAGAGACCTCCCAGAATACTGAGTACAAATTTGGATAGGACGTATTCGGGCATCCTCCAGTACTGCTGGAAGACACGGTTTGTCACAATCTGGAATTGTCTTGCGACGGGGGCTGCAAATTCCGCCTGCTCATGAGATTCTGCATCGAAGGTCACTGGCTCGTTCGCCTTCTCTGCGTGGAGTCTGTCGATCTCGGCTTCCACGGCCGATCGCTCCGGGCTTGCTTTCCAGATGGCATGCCAGTCCTGTTTGTCGCGCAGGCCATTGTTGACTGTCTCGATCATGTATTCGGCTGGGTTTTCAGCATCCTCGCACTTGCGTGCTCCATTAGACTCGAAGTAGTCCAGTAGAGTCCTTGAGTTCTTTCCAATCTTTCCAAAGTAGACAGTCTTCCCACCTCGCGCAAGGAACAGAAGGCGGTCAAATTCCTGGAACAGGATAGCGCTTGGCTGATGAACAGTACAAAGTACCGCTTGACCAGCGTCAGCAAGCTTACGCAAGAAGGCGCAGATAGCCCAAGAGCTCTGCGAATCAAGGCCGCTGGTAGGTTCGTCGAGAAAGAGAAGGAGCTTCGGTCTGGCAGCAAGCTCAACGCCAATAGTAAGAAGTTTGCGCTGCTCAACATTCAATCCTTCGCCAGGGGTGCCAACAACAGCATTAGCGAAGTCCCTCATGTTTAGCATATCGATGACTTTCTCGACGAATTCATATTTCTCTTCCATGCTCACGGATGCAGGCTGGCGAAGCATGGCGCTGAATCGCAGGCTCTCACGAACGGTGGCGGTGTCCAAATGCAAGTCTGTGGCAAGGTTAGTGGTAAGTAGTGTGACTTAGTCAGAGACTTACCTTGTTGCTGAACATAACCTGTCTTGCGCTGGAAGCTAGCATCCAAAGGCTTCCCGTTGACAAACATGTCACCAGTGATGACACCCATCGTGGTTCGCTGTGCCAGTACATCAAGAAGGGTCGTCTTTCCAGCGCCACTGACACCCATTAGTGCCGTGAGTGTGCCGGGCTGAACCCAGCCAGATACGTGATCCAATAAGCGTCTGGGCTCTCCCTTGATCTCGATATCATAGACGACGTCCCTCCAAGTGAAAATGTCCTTCTGAGGTTCCATGGCCTGAACGCTCGAGCTTGGCTCGGATGGCTTACTTTGTGAACGTTTGATGCCCTTCTCCTCATCAGTTGCTGTTTGGCTATCGTTCTCTTGGAGATACTCCGGGACATGGCCACGTTGGAAGACGAGCACCTCTGCCGTGCTAGTAGTACTCGAATTCCACTCAGTTGCCCAAAAGTAAATCCCCATAAGTCCAAACAAAAATGCAAGCATGATGCCAAAATTTCGCCAAACGTGAGAGTAGTAGTACTGGTAGCTTTTTGCAATGTAGTCATCTCCACTCACAGTACGACGGCCGGCAATCGAACCTACGGCTGAGCAGATCCATGAGTCTCCGACAAGCGGAGTGTATGAAGGAATGATCTCCGAGCATGTGAATTCTCTCCCGTGGAATTCGTTCGCAATCAAAATCTCAAAGGCGTAGAAGATGGGGTTTACGTATCGGATCCACGAAAACCAGTCCTTCATCTGAGGCACTGAGACGACGTATCCGGTGTACATGACAAGCGCTAGGCTAAGAACACCTGCAAGGGCCATGGCTTGGGAAACCGTCTTTGTAAGGGCAGCCATTGTCCTGAATGCGGCGCTCATCACAAACGAAGTGATGTAAGTGATGAGAAAGAATAAGAAGAACTGCGCTGGCTCCCTTCGTAGGCCAGCCATGAAATAGAGGATCAGGTTGAAAACGACCGAAGAGCAGAACTTGATAGGGACTTCGGCGATGATTCCAGCGATAGCCTCACAGCATGGGTGGTAAAAAGCGTATGAAGCGTGTTTTTCGACGACTGGGCGTTGGGCATAGAGACCATTGATCTCCGCGATGGTGCTGAGTGCACTAAGTAATATACCCATAAAGAGCACTGCACCCTTTGACGAGAAACCGACCGTGGCATCAGGAGTGTTGAAAAACACAGAGCCTAGTACTAGCGATAGCACAACGTTGATGAGAATGTTGGTAGCCGTTGCAGCTATGTCTCCCATGATACGCTGGTAGGCTCGCTTCGTGCACAAGCCGATTTGTTGTATTACACTAAGAGTGTAGGGAGATTTGGGGCGAACATGCTTTGCCTGAGCATAGTTCTTCTGGTTACGAAGCTGGACCAGGCTCTCGTTCTGGCCACTGGGGGGATAATTTTGCTCGTAAATCTGCATGTCTTCCATAAGAGCTTGGTACTCAGGCGACCGTCGCCAATATTGCTCAAACTCTTCGGGTGTCCGAGGGACCTTACCTTCCATTCCTCCTTGAGCCCTCCGTTCTTGTGGATTAGTAACGGACGTGAGGAAATCTCCAGTTGTTTGACGCTGTGGGCAATGCCAACCCTGCCTTTCAAAAAATGACTTTGCTGCTGTGGCCGGCCCGAAGTATATTTGGCGACCCTCGTACAGGACTGTAGCCTTGTCGAATATATCGTAGATGTCCTGACTGGCCTGGTAGATTGCGACAGCGTTTGCGGAACCGCCCAAGTCGGACGCTAGGCGCAAGGTTTGAACAAACTTCAGCGCCGTTGCTGAATCGAGGCCGCGCGTGCTAGGTATATCAGTATGAGCTGCAGGATTTTGAAATCTCAAGATGTTTGAGGGTGTTACCTGTTGTCCCAAGCGCAAAGTGGGGATCCAGAAAGCATCATTTCTGCAATGCTGACGCGCTTCCTTTCTCCTCCCGACACACCTCGGATGAAGTCGTTTCCAACCTTTGTGTTGTACGTATGGCTCAGACCAAGGACAGCCATGACAATCTGAACGCAGTGCTTGCTCAATTCGTTTCGAGACATCCCACTAGATGTTCGGACAGGGAGTCGGGAACGGGATGCGAACTCGAGTGTTTGTCCTACGGTAAGGTGAGGAAAGTGCTTTTCAACCTATAGTCGTCTGTAAGCATCAACATCGGCCAGCTGTCCGGACATCACGTACTTCCTGATTATAAACAATCTCCCCCTTGAATTCCCTCATCATTCTGTCCTGCGAAATGCCGTTGTAATGGACTTTCGAATCTTCGCCGATATGGAGCCCAAATAATTCTCCGCACATTGTTTTCAAGAGCGTGCTGCATCCCGATCCTGGTCGTCCAAGCACAATGAGAAGCTCGCCACTCTGGAGAACTCCATCAAAGTTGTGCAGGATATGCCTAGCTTGCTTTTTGGGTGATCTGAGGAGTTCGCGGAATCGCATGGGAGCCAGGAAGTAACTACCAACAGTCTGTTGTATCTGCAGGGCGGATCCACTTCCGTAAACATCCAGACTTTTGTATAAGATTCCTGTGTTTTTGGGTGTCCCATCTTGATCGTGAAAATTGTTGAGGAAGCTGCGTAGCCACTTGACTGGGTCGAAGCTTCCACTCTGCACGTCCAACGCGGGATCACCTTGGACATCAGAGGAGGTGGACCCTTGTGCAATACTTTGCTTCCTCTGTGATATCATAGTCGCAACTCGCCGTAAGTCACCTTCACTTACATCTCCTACCGACGGGCGGTCCATCCCAGTTCCCTCGCTGCTTAGAGGAGTGTCGTCGTGCTCTGTATTCGAGTCAGACTTTTTTCCATTGTCACGTCCCTGAGTCTGAATAATACCTTTGATAGAATCATGTTGATAGTGCCTCTCGTGTTGCTCGGTATGATTATCGTCCCCGGCAATGTTCTCGAACATAACCGGTGAAAAGAGCGTGGCTGTTAAAGCACAAAAAAATGATTCTCAATATACTGATGCGGGAAGGGCGTGGCGAGTTACACATGGAATATAGAGTCGGGTTATTGGAATGTGGTAGAGGAGTCACTTAAATGCCCTGTATGACAGTGACTGAGGTTTAACACGAGTTTCTATCGTCGTACAACGATCAGTTGAACGCGAAAAAGGATGGCGCCTTCATCTTCCGGGCACTGTTCACCACTGTAGCTACCATCAACTACTAAGCCTAGCCGCATCTATGATCACTGTATCGTTGCTCTCCGGATAAGCCGCAAGTGTTCACGTCTCCCTAACGACTCGACTCATTTAGAGGCATGCCGCACTAGATTGCCCTTGTAAGCCCTGTCGCATGCATTTTGAGCCACAATGACGCGATCGGACCTTTCCCATTCTTCAAGAGGTTTGTCCGTGTGCTGTCCGTGTAAGAATCTACGTATGTGAACGCCCTGCAAAGTTCAGACATGGAAGCAGGAATTGAGCAAGGACGAACTTTCGCCCGAATGACTTTGGTATCAACAACTCGTACAATGCCCTATGATGCCAGCCGGAAGCGGATGTGTGAATTGAGCATGGCCTTGGCAGGGTGAATGTCGGGGACTCGGACGTCTCGTGTTCCGGTTCAGGTTCAGGTACTTTCGTACAACCACCGATCGGGCCGACCGCAAACGAACGTGTACACTGCGCTTGACATTTGGCAGTGAGGATGTCGAAAATCGGGACTTATAGTGTGCCGATACCGATATCCTCCTATAACTTAGTTTTACAGCGTAAGACCACCTAGCAATAACAATGGCGATCTCACAACAGTGTCACGTCAATGGCTGCTAGTGGATACGAGAAGGGGTTTCGTCGTGAACCACATTGGAACGTTCACTTGAAGGGCGATGGTCGGTCCATTGCACTGCAACATCGATAGGCTGGAATGAAAAGCTCAAGGCTTGTTTCGTGAGATATGCTTGACAGTGTGATGTGATGTAAAACTACTTTCTCTTGAAGAGAAGAAAGTCAAGGATGAGTTTCTGGGTCAAAGTCGGCCTCCGGTCAACGTCCAGGACATGGATACACGACACAAGACAGACCCACAACCGCCCGCGCCATCTCTGTTGCCGCGACCTCGTCCACGACTCTGGAAGCCGCCCTGTCCACGTCCCCTCCCCTCCCTCTAAAGCTATCGTGGCTATCTTCTGGTGAAAGTGGAGACACGTCTTCGTCCGGTAAAGGGAGATGAGGATCGAGCTGAAGACGTCTGTTGAGTTCTGGTACGTGTATCTGCTGGTACGTCTTGTGGGTGCGATCCTTAAACTTGGTTATGGCTTGAAGCCTATTGAGAAAGTCGTCGTATAGATGAAGGTCGTCGTTGTATAGGCGGAGGTCGTTTGTTTCCTAATCCGCAACTTTACCGTGAGGAGTAGTTGGGTAGGCACAAGAATATCGGCATAGGCTTGTATTGAGACGAATCCTTGAGGAGCTATCAAGCCTTCCAGAGGGATAGTAAATATCTATGTCACGTGATCGTGGCAGGTGTGGGCCGTCGGTGTCCCGAAGGGTTCCCGGTGGCTTGCCACTCTGTAGCTAAGGTCTTGTGACGATGGAACATCGTGACATTCACTCAATGCTGCAGCGCTATGCTCAGTAGTTGTATTAATCGTGATGCGTCTTTGGACTTGCTAGGCTTGCAGGCACTTGTGCGTTTTCTTAGTTAGGCACTAGTCGAGGCCATCGTGGGGTATAGGATCCGGTTCGATGGATGTGTTTGACAAGGTCTTGCTTGAGGAGAGGAACCTCGTGTGGGTAAGGGCGGTACTGAGGGTGCACTTGGATGGCTTCACGGTAGTGAATTCGGTGCCGGATCGGATGGAGGTCAATTGACGCGGGTGGCTTGGAGGAAATCGGGTGGCCGACTATGGTCGATTGAGCCCAGGGAAGGGGCATTTAGGAGTATTTGTATATGCTCGTAGCCAATTGTAAGTGTGAGTAAGAAGGTATTTTGATATGCTGCTAAGCCTTGTTGGAGTATAAGAGTGATAGATTGATACGGATGATGTTGGCTATATATCAAGTACGCTAGTGGATGTGGAAGGCATCAATAACATCATGAGATGGCACTGTTCATCAAGCCATCCTATCCAGCACTGCTCTACCGAGTGTCACCTATTCTTGCTCGGAAAACTGTGACGCGAAAGGTCAACATCCACAACGCGTGAACCGGCGCCAAATCTCCTCCTACACAGGAACCTCCGATGGACACCTACCATCGTGCCCTCCAATTCTCTCGCGCGTCGCCATGTATGCAAGTGAGGTTTAGCGGGATATCATCATCCTCATGAAACCAACTTGGCTCTGGCACACGCCATTTGACAACACAACTATTTGGCTCATCCAGGGACAAGTGCCCACAACCACGAAGCTTTTCTTGCCAGACAGCTGCTGTGCGCAGTCGGCTGCCATCAATCCGAATCCTTGACAGAACAGCAATCTGAGCTTCACTCCGCATCGCAAGAAATGTCTTCAGTTCACATACGGCTTCGCAACGGAGCACGTGTGAACAGCACTCGAATGTGTTGAGCTTGTACGGCAAGAGGCATGTCTCTGTATGGACTTGACGGCAGACTTGAAGTAAGCTGATCTCGAAGTAGCTTCGATAACTCCAACCGTCAGGAACATAAAACAGGTAGATTTTTTCTTCTTCGGTAAGAACAAAGGTATAGATTATATTTCGGATCTCGGGAGGAAGTCGAAGCAGAGATGAGGATGTAGCGTTGCGATGAGCGATGTCGATCTTCCGCTGGTCACTGATGAGGTAATTAGCTTCAGTTGTTGTGCTAAAACACGCAGGTCATCTAACCTGGTAGTGAGCGGAGACTCCGGTCTTGTTTCTCGAGCTTCGGCCCTAGGGTTCTCGGCCTTGTTGGTACTTCCTGATTTAGGCATGTTCGATATTCCGAAGATGTAGAGTATACAGGATACTTGGTCTATGTTGTGAGTAAGACGCTGTGAGGGTGGGTGTGTAAAGTGTAAGTAATATATACTGTTTTAGTGTCTTGGCGTGCGACAGGTGAAGGCAACCGAGAAATGAGTGAGAATACGACAGGGCCATGTGAACAACCTGAGCGCCTAGAGACCGGGTATCAGTGGCGCTTGGCCAGGTGAAAGTAAGATTGGAGCGCTCCAAAAGATGTAGTATTGATATGATGGACGTGCTGGTGATAAGACGCAGACACAACGCTGTTAAGTTACACTGTATTGTATCGCAGTAGAAGTGTGTTCCCAAACACTCACTTGGCTTCACTGTATGCAGCTGTCTACAAAAGATGTAGTATGTTGGAGTCTTCGACAAGTAGTTATTCTTCAATTTACCATTAAGCCTTGGTTAATCTGTGAATCTCCTCAAAGTAGAACTTGAGGTCGTCTGGCTTGACGAAAGGAGTGATGCCATGACCAAGGTTTGCAATCCATCCCTGCTTGCCACCACCGAATCCAGCGACCATCTCCTCCACGACCTTTGTGATGGATTCCCTGCTGCCGTACAAGACGCCCGGGTCCGCGTTACCCTGCAGAACCTTGCCCTTTGCTTGCGCAACCTTGTATGCCTCCGCGGGCGCATGTAGCCAGTCGAGACCAATGGTGTTGTATTTGGTGTTGCAAAGATCCTCCAGCGCATACCACGCTCCCTTCGCAAAGACGGTCATGGGAACAGGCTCAAGGCCCTTTGATTGCAGACGCGCGGGCAGATTGTCGGCGATGTAGTTCAGGTAGGGAAGCGCAAAGGTCTTGAAGCATGACGGCGACAGCTCACCCGCCCAGGAATCGAAGACTTGGATCATCTACACGTGTTAGTGCAAGACTTCGGCCCTGCTTCGGACAACATACCTGTGCTCCGGCCTGGACTTGGAGAGCCAGGTACTCGACGCAAAGTTCAGCAATCTTCTGCAGCAGCGCTTTGCTCTCCTCGGGGTACTTGTAGATCCACGTCTTGGTCTGAATGAACATCTTGCTGCCACCTCCCTCGACCATGTAGCACAGCAGCGTCCACGGCGCACCACAGAAGCCAATCAGCGGCACCCTGCCTGCCAGTTTCTGTCTGGTCATGGTGATCGCCTTGTAGACATAGTCGAGCGACTCTGCTACATCCACCTTCCTCTCGAGAACCTCCTTGTACTGCTTGTCCTCTGGAGTTTGCAGCGGGTCGGGGAAGTGCGGGCCCTTTTTATCCACCATTATGACTTCCATGCCCATTGCCTGCGGGATTACGAGGATGTCGGAGAAGATGATGGCGGCGTCGATGAGGCCGGCGTAGCGCTCGATGGGCTGGAGAGTGAGGGTCGAGGCAATCTCGGGGCTGCGACAGCACTCGAAGAAGTCATTCCTGCCCTTTGCTTCGTGGTACTCGGGGAGGTAGCGGCCGGCTGCACGTCGTCAGCATGCGATATACATGTTATGGAGCATGCCTACCTTGTCGCATCACCCATATCGGCGGGCGCTCGACTTTTTCGCCTGCAGAGGGTCAATCCAGACTGTTTGTAGGCCAAGCAGAGAAGGGGTCTTGACCTCTCGCTGTGCGCAGAATGAGGTCATTCTTCATGGGCTCGAATTGGGGAGCCATTTCTGCTGTGGATGAAAGTTGGATGCATGTCATCGGCGTCGTAACTTTGTAGTTCCGAATACCCCGCGCGTACAGCTTCGACGCTAACTGCATCGAGACGCGTTCCTGCATCCCCTACCATCGCGCTTGACCCACATCCCTCTAACGCCAATTTTACCCCGAGGATGCTTCTTAGACATGTCCGGTATTCGACATGTCATGACTTGGCGTGCCGGTGCAACCCACGTCACTTCACCCGCAGAGCCTACAATACATCGTCACCGGCAAGCCTCTCATCCCTAAGCTCGACGCGACCCATCGCGAAACCACGTGCCACACATGACATCGGTCGAACAGGTCTTGCACTATCGCAATGCCGCGGCGCGAAGCGAAAGTCTGCAGTGACTCTTGACCAACTTCAACAAGGGCCTCTAGAAGTCGAGGCGCTGCCGCCGCAAGATGATGCGGAACCGGAATATCCGCCGCTGTTGCAACAAGTGCGCAACAACATGCTCAAGCTTCGTCACTGTGTGCTAGTCACACGCGTAGGCGGCTTTTACGAGGTGCGCAAGCAAGCCATTACCTCGAACTAGTGCTGAGGGATCGTATAGCTATACTTTGAGCATGCAGACGAATTTGCCCCGTTGTTGAACATCAAAAAGTCCAAGCGAAGAGTTTCCAAGGGAAGCAAGAAGCCTGCAATCTCCATGGTTCGTAGTGCATGTCAGAAATCACCTACAATGCTGATACCATCAGGCTGGTTTCCCTGCCTATCAGCTAGACAGATATCTGAAGATACTGGTTCAGGATCTCAACAAGCATGTCGCTATCAGTGACGAGTTCCTCAACGATGCACCAACCAAAGCAAAAGGCGAATCGCAGTACACACGAAGAGTGTCGCGCATCGTAACACCAGGCACTCTTATCGACGAGCATTTTATGGATCCATGGGAGAACAACTATCTTCTTAGCATCCATGTCAGCCCCGAAGTGATCAAACAAGAGGAGGTCGTGAACCAGAGTCCTGGCAGCTCCAGTGTGTCATCTGTCCTCAACCTCCCGCGCACGGAGGTTGGCCTGGCCTGGATCGATCTTTCAAGCGGTGACTTCCTCACGCAAAGCACGGACATTGCGTCGTTGCCATCAGCAGTAGCCCGTATCAAGCCTCGAGAGATTGTACTAGACAGTGTCTTCCAAGAACAGAACCATTCGCGAATCGTTTCCATCTTGCAAGAAGACGGGCATATTATCACATTCCAAGACCCCCTAGGGGTGCCACTTACCGTTAAGGATTGGAGATCTATGTTGGAAGATGTAGTGGACGACTATGACATAGGCGACTTCACTCCGAGCGAAGTCGCTGCGGGAGGGTCGCTATTGCATTACGTTAAGCACCAACTGCTCGGTTCGCGCAGTCGACTTCGTGCGCCAGTACGGCATCAAGCCCAAGAGCATATGAGCATCGACAAGAACAGTCTAAGGGCGCTGGAGATCCGAGCTACCATTCGTGAAGGTACTTACGAGGGAAGCTTACTGCATGCGCTCAAGAAGACAATCACAAAGAGTGGCACAAGACTGCTTACGCAGCGTCTGTGTAAGTCAGTCTTCATGATCGACGATGTCGTATCACTAACATTCCCAAGCTGCACCATCAATGTCACTATCAACCATCAACGACAGACTAGATCTCGTTGAAGAGATGATACAGTACCCGCAGCTCCGCCAAGACATCAGATCGCTCTTAGAACAGACCTTTGACACTTTGCGCTTAGTGACAAAATTCACTTACGGTCGTGGTGACGCTGACGATCTGATCGAGTTGTCAAAGACTATCCTTACCACCGCCTACATCGTGGACGTACTGCACGAGCATGTAAAATCCAGGATATCCATACCCGTCGATCCCACATCGGCGGCATCAGAGTATCGAAGAAGGGAGTGCATATCCATGCTAGAACGTCGATTTGATCTAGTACAACCACTCGAGCTCGCGAACCGCATACAGGATGCCATCGATGAAGAAGGTCTGTCTGAGTATCACCGCATGGAAAGTGAAGAAGCCGAGGGGATGTCAAATCTGGCTCAGGATGTGGTTGGCCGAGAAGCCGGAGAAGAAGATCTGAAGGAGTTGCCACAACGCATTCAGCCAAAGCTCAAGATGATCACTGGAAGCTTCAAGCCTGCAACCGATGGCAGAGAAGATGTCCACATAATGAAACGGAACGCCAGTCTAGCGCTCGAGCGTCTCCACAAGAGCTTGGATAAAATGGCAAAGGAAAAGAGCAAACTAGAACAAGAAATGCGCCAGAGGATGGCAACAGACAGCCTCGTACTAAAATGGACACCGAACCTCGCGCACATCGCCCACGTTAAAGGCAAAGACACTGCCCGCACCACCGCTTTCTATCCCCGCAGCTTATCGTCCAGCAAATCCACACGCTCGTTCCAAATCCCCGGATGGACAAATCTAGGCGCGCAAATGGATGAAACACGTTTTCGCATTCGAACGGAGGAACAACGCGTCTTGTCTTCCCTGCGCGAAGACGTCATCAAGAACCTCGTCAAACTCCGACGCAATGCCGCCATCCTCGACGACCTCGACGTAGCATGCACTTTTGCCATACTCGCCGTGGAGAAGAACTTTGTTCGCCCAATCCTCAGCGCAGAACCTGCACACAACATTGTCGGTGGCCGCCACCCTGTCGTAGAAGCCAGCCTGTTATCCCAGGGCCGCAGTTTCGCACCAAACGACTGCGTCCTCCGTCCCCACTCACGTATTCACCTTATTACCGGGCCTAACATGGCTGGTAAATCGACATATCTGCGTCAAAATGCCTTGATATCCATCTTGGCGCAAACTGGCTCTTTTGTACCAGCGACTTACGCGGAGATCGGCCTTGTAGATAAAATCTTTTCCCGCGTGGGTTCGGCTGATAACCTCTACCAGGACCAATCGACGTTCATGGTCGAGATGCTAGAAACCGCTCAGATACTCAAGGAAGCTACGCCTCGATCTTTCGTCATCATGGATGAAGTAGGTCGGGGTACTACACCGGAAGATGGCGTCGCGGTTAGCTTTGCTTGTCTCCACCATTTGTATAATGTGAATAGGAGTAGAGTGTTGTTTGCGACGCATTTTCATGCACTGGCGGATATGACGGAGGGAAAAGGCTGGGAGGATCTGAGTTGTTGGTGTAATGATGTTGTTGAGGATGGGGACGGGAGTGGAAGGTGGGCTTATGTGCACACACTCAGGAGGGGCGTTAACAGAGAGAGCCACGCGTTGAAGGTTGCCAGGGTCGCGGGGATGCCAGAAGGAGCGATTGAAGTAGCGAAGGGGGTTTTGGAGGGGCTGAAGGGTGGCAAGGCGAAGGTGCAAGAGCAATGACAACATCAAAATAGCCAGGGGAACACTGCGAAAAGATCATCATTGACGCTCGCATACTTCTTTGTACAGAGGTCTTGCATGCCAACTCGAATTCTCTCAGCGTCGTGTCCTGTCCTCCTTCCTCGGGTACCTCACACAAAGTCTGCTTGGCACGCGTTAATAACGCTATCTGATGTAACGACACAATCTCGTGACAGCATGCGACATGCATTTCAGCGCTAGATCGAGCTCTGACAGAGGGCTTGGGTCATACAGATACTCTGCATATGGCGAAGATCATCGTGTATTGCAATCTATCGCTATTTGCGTCACGCGGGAACAGGCGGGACGACGTGGCTGTGCAGGAACAAGATATCTGAAGCGCTGCAAGTATGCGAGGTGATGAAAAGGACAATGCCATTGGCATGTGTTGTTGTTGAAGGAAAGTCGTGAGACTGATGTTCAGATTACCTTTCTACCCCACCTTTACCCGCTCTATCTTGCTCTTTAGCAGGGTGTGTGATCTTTTGTGTTCTCCAACCTCGATACATCGTCTTATCTTTGCTTTTCTTACTCCTCCAGACACGTAGTCCTGAAGGGACATTGGACAAGTAAGCTTCACGAGTGAATCAAGAAAAGTCGAATTCGAAATTACGACAATCATGGGTGAAGCGGCAGTTACCCCACCATCGTCATCGGCGCAACGTGCCCCACCTCCGCTACCTAGCACCATAAGTCCAAGTATCACGCTCCAGCCACCTCTGTCTAGACGCGGAAAAGGACCTGGACTGGTGCTTGTGTTGGATCACTATGCGGCGAGAGAAGCCAAGGACGGGTGTTTAGACCCACCGCCACTACAGAAATGGGCTGAGGAGGGGTTCGCAGTCGTGCAGGTATGTTTTGAGACCGATTGCGACGGAAGCGGAGGGCCAAGTTGATCTATGATACTAACGCTGATTATCTGTAGCTGCTAGTCCCTGGCAAAGTTGAAGACGGTGGCGAATTTCCTCTCCGAAGAGCCCTAGAAGCGTTGAAGAACTGCAAAGGATGCGAATACAGCAATGGTGTTGGATTGATATGTTTGTCAACTCATTTCTAAGCAATGACGATCATTCGGAGACAAACTGACCATGCTTTGCAGCATACCTATCAAGAACTCCATATTACGTTGAAGAAGCCGCCGGCAGCACTCCAGACATCAAAGCTCTTGTCTCCTACGGTGGCGGAAAGTTCACCACCATCGGCTCAACACCACTTCCACCCCAATTGGTACACATAGCGGGGCTGCCAGATACTCGTCGTCGTGAGTCGTGTTCACTGGTCCCAGGACCATCTTCAGAAGATACGACACCACTCCCGGAGAACGTTATCAAGTCTTACCGATACGAAGATGCTAAGAAAGAATCCGGATGGGTACTTCCAAGCGATGAGAACTACCACAAGCGAAGCTCAGGCATTGCGCACACGAGGAGTCTGACCTTTTTGAAGCCGTTACTTGGTGGACCATTCTTCGACCTGGAGGCGGTGTGGGAAGAGCATACGAAATTCGAGTTTGGGGAGAGAGATGTCGCGAAAACAATGGCTACAATGGTGGACCAGCCGTATGTCAATCACATACCGACCATGACGTACGTATCCATCCAGCACCATTATTGAGCATCGATGCCGTGTCGGAATACGATATGCTAATAACTCGGCAGCGGAGGGGTGGGCCAAGAGCGACTCACAGCCTTTTACACTCACCACTTTGTTTTCAGCAACCCGCCCGATACCGCCCTCTCTCTCGTCTCACGCACCGTAGGCATCGACCGCGTGATTGACGAATTCATCTTCACCCTCACACACACTAGAGAAGTTCCCTGGCTTCTGCCCGGTATCCCTCCTACCGGCAGGCCCCTCGCCATCCCCTTCACCAGCGTCGTTGCCATGCGCGGCGATCGACTGTGTCACGAGCATATCAGCTGGGATCATGCGACGGCGCTCAAACAGTTGGGGCTATTGCCGGAGTATGTCCCTTTTCCATTCGAGATTGAGGGAGAGGCCAGAGCGGAGGGGAAGAGGTACGAGGTCAAGTTGCCAGTTGTGGGCATGGAGGGGAGTAGGAAGTTGGTGGATGAGAGTTGTGAGGAGAGTAATGCTTTGATGGGTGGTACATGGCGAGTGGTCGACGATGTTCGATAAGGCACTTTCAGAGGATAGGGATGAATAAAGGAACGTCTTGTGGCTCTCAGGCGATGCGCACCATCCGCTAATGGTTGAGGTCGTTGTTTTCGACCATGTCTCAATCATGCTGGGAATTCTGGAGGTAATCGTCGAACTACGCGAACCTGTGTCCGAAGCGGTGGGTCGCAAGTCGTGGTTTCTTCGGACAAAAGTAGAAGCAGTTGGCGTGGAGTGCGCAAATCAATGCTATTATCGGTGCCGCAACTAGTACTAGCGTCCAGGCAGTGTTTGCAGGGGTGTGCGAACATCCTTCCAAAAAGGTTCCACCATCGTTCATCAGCCAGACATTCTTCCAGAAGTTCACTGAGAAGGGCTAACACTCACTTTTGTCGGCTACTAGCGTCAGCCATGCCACTTCGTAAACCCCATACTAAATCACGTAATGGTTGCTTGCCTTGCAAGAAAAGACATATCAAGGTTTGAGCAAGCTATGCCCTTGCGCAACTACAGTGCTTACTGATCACGTCAACATAGTGCGGAGAAGAAATACCTACATGCCAGAATTGCATCTTTCGACGAGTAGATTGCGCGTATGGATCAAATGCTAAAGCCAGTCGACATGATCTCTCCAGAGCTTCCAGTTCGGAAGCTACCGGATCCCCAACCCGCGTCCCGCCTGAAGAGCCACCATGGCCAGCAGGCAAGCTTCGCGCGCATGATACAGCATTGCAATCAACGATTGGTGTTTCGAGGCGACAAGAGCTGCAGCTGATGATCTACTACATAAACAGAACGAGTCGAACCCTAGCACATGACGCCGCAGAACTTGTCGCCTGGACAGAAGCCATCCCAGAAGAGGCTGTGCGGTATGATTTCCTGATGGATGGGCTCTTGGCAATGGCGTCGCTTCATTTCGCATTCTACAATCCGGACTCGCGTAGGCAATACACCGAATTCGCGATACGATATCAAAACGAGGGTCTGCAAAAGTACAACGACACTCTGGGAGATATCAACGAAACAAACTGTACTGCTCTTTTTGCTTTCTCCATTCTTATCAATGTCATGGCCATCGCCTTGCCAAACGCAGATCCGAGTTCTGCAAATTCAGCGCATACTGAGAGCCTGATGACTACGCTTGAACTAGGGCAGGGTATAGGAATCATACACTCGAAATCTGTCACCCTGCTTACCAATGGAAAACTGGGATCGTTTTTCCGATCCTCACCAGGAGATCTGGACCCCGACGATGAGACAAAAGCCGCGTTAGACAAGCTTCGTCAACATACAGATAGCCTTCTGCATTCCAATTCCATCGACGAAGAGCGCCATGCTGTCTATGCCTCAGGAATCCGGTGTCTTGGAGTCGTTTTCGGATATATGACGAGCTCGAATCATTTAGGGCGCGTCATTGGCTGGCCTGCGATGATCTGGCCAGAGAAACACAGGGAAGCGCTCATGAAGTTGATCCGAAACGGCGATATCATGGCTCTTACTATATTCATGCATTACGGTGTGCTTTTACTCCACATCCGGCATCTGTGGTGGGGGGCGCGTACGGGGATTAGCCTCATCGAGGACCTGGCGATCTCGGTACATGCTGCAGGTCCTAGTTGGGCTGCGCTGACCGAGTGGCCAAGGGGAGTCGCTATGCGAATTGAAGATGGTGGGCGAGGCGCTTTCCAGTTTGATGACTCGTTGCCGGGAAGACTCGCGTAACAAGTTTTCTTCGCTGCAGAATCGACTCTCCATTTACATTAAGGACTCTAGCTCTCCATCCGTACTTGGAACGATTTGGAAGCGATAGGTGACTATACTGGTTCAGACTTCACAGTGAGATGAAAAAGGAGGTGCTTTAAACAAGACTAAGGTGATGCAAGGGTTACGCCACGCGAAGGTTCTACTCTAGGCGGTTGTCCCGGCCATGTAACATCTGTTGTCGCAATAAGGCAGGTCGAAAATAACTATACGGATTCTTCGGTGTAAACAACTCAGCTCAGCGCAAGGAATACACCGATATTACTCGCCGCACCGCTCTCCCTCGGCCTTTGCTCAGCAGCGCTGTGATCTCACTTGGATGAACCCAAACCATCCAAACCATCGTAGCGAACATGAGCACAGCGTCGAACACGTACAGGAAGACCTCGTGGGATATGAGATACCCGTCGTTACCCTGTGCATACTCAATGAGTCGGAAGATGCATCGCACGAGGATAAGCAAGCTGGCTATGTAAAGTGAATACAGCTGTCTTTCCCATGGCAACGACTGGGAATATACTTTTGACGTCGGCTGTTGAACCATACGGGCATGGAAGATGACGCCGGTAACGATGAAGAAGCCGAAAAAGAGAAGCTGTACTACTAGGCCAGCAATAATAATCTTCTCTCCGGTATGCACAGCTGAAATGGTGCCACTTGCCATTATACCCCCACCTAGTGTCCATGCGTCAGTCATCGGCATCGATTTAGACCCTGGAGATTGGAAAAATACGTACCGGCTCCCTGCATCATGAATGAGACTACATCCCCCGTTACGAACAACTTTGTGAGCCATTTCTTGGCTATGAGTGAATGTGACTCGCCGTCGGTCACCAAGATGATGCGGCCGAGCATCATGTAGATGCTTGCCGCGAATAGGGCGGGCGCAACCAGAAGGAGAATAGTCGAGAGTGAGTAGACTGCGACGGACCAATTGGGCGACTCTTGGGCGGAAATGGCTCTCTGTAGAACACACGCGTTAGTTTCGTCGTCCTTTTTTAGGCTACGAATCCTCGCACGTACCCCGATGTACCCAATGACCTCGACTGCGACAAGTTGTTAGCCAGTCTCTTCACGGCGAACACGAAGATTGGGTGTAGCTTACAAACGCCGCCAATGACGAAAGGGATGAAAATCCAAGTCCGAGTTCGCATCATTTGATAAAAGTGCAATGCTGTGACGAGGAAGAATAGGATGATAAAGATGACGGCTGCTGCCATTGAAGGATTGTAGCGGTAAAGCTTGAAATCGACGGTCTCTTCTGCCATGATGATATCGCTAATCGAGAATAATACGAAGAGAAGTGGGAGTTGAACGTTTGGAAATGTGCAGTAAAGCAAAGCGAACAACTGTTTTGGAAGTCTATAGTTCAAAGTACCTAATCAACCTGTCCTATTTGTAACGTCGGACCCAGACTATCTACACACGTTCCGCAGGCTGAGCCATCTAGTACAGTGTTCCACGGTGCGTATGCGTATTATATGATACGCCCAGGTGCAATTTCTGCTAGAGTTGCGAAACCGCAGTACATCGTTGGGGTAATTTTGGGCGACCTAGCGATAAGGTTCGGGCTGACGACCGGGCTGAGGATAGTCGCTACATTAGCGGGCCCACTGCGCATGGGGCGTATACGTATGCGTGTGCGTATGCGTATCGCCCCGCTTGGTACGAAATACGCAGCGGGTCTTCCCGATGGTCGTTAGATTTGTGCTTTAGTGTGGTTCATAGGTAGGATGGTTTTTCGAAGAGACTCTAGGATACTTTTTTGTTGCATAGGTTTAAGGTAAGTACAGGTACGACTAGAAGATTATGTCTTGAGGCGACATCTAATCGTTTCAACCATAAGAATGATATCCATAGTTTGCACCGTTGCTTTCCGGACTCCCTTGCTGCTCGTTGTACTTATGCATTGGCACACAGTATGATTATCAAAGCTTTTTGTGTGATCTAGTTGTATTTCTACCTCGTACCGTCTTGGAAAATATTGTGATATATCTACACATAGTTGCAAGTGACTCCACTGAGGAATGATAGAGAGGATCCGCCATCTAAGGGACATTCTCTAACGTTGTTACGACATGATGTCTGAGACAACGTGATACAACATGGTCTAGCTAGCATTCGTTGACAAACTCCTCTAGAGCACTATGAGTCGCATAGAAAGCTCCCTTTGGTCTGTAGTTCTCATCAAACATGAGCGGCTTTGCGCCTGGCACCCAAGTGTAAGCATGCTTATCAGTAAAGCCCCAGAAGTTGATATCGGTGATTCCTGCCTTCAAAGCCTCCTTGATAACGGCACCATATATCTGAGTCTCGAGTGTTTTATTGAGTGTGTGCACGTCCATCTCGGCGATTTCGACTTGCAGCCCGAGCGCTTTGTAGAAACGAACCATGTCGGTTATTACATCGGGTACCGGAGCCACTTCGGTGATGTGCATTTGCAGGGCGACTCCATCGATTGGAACGCCATCTGCAACAAGTCCAGAAACCAGGTCTTGAAGCTCTTGACGCTTGCCGGGAAGCACTTCTACTTGGTTTTCGTTGATGTACAACTTGGCTCCAGGGGACGCAGCCCGTGCGATGCGGAAGGCTTCGTTGATGTAACCCGGACCAAGTTGCCTAGAGAAGTAATTTGCATTCAAGCCTCCACCCATAGTCTTGAGAGCCTCAGTGACCACGTCCCATCGGTCGATTCGTCCTTCGTACCGACGCATGATAGCTTCGAAATGAGTCGTCATCGCGGCACGCAACGCTTTGGGATTGGTGATGTTGACTACAAAGTTGGGATTGCAGCAGCTCGAGATGAGTCCATGCCCTTTGACCAACATATCATGTTTGTTGGCGAAATCAACGAGACGATCGATAGGATCCCAGTTGTAATGGCCCGGCGAAGGGTTGATGAAAGACCATTTCATCTCATTTTCAGGATGCAAGCTGTTGAATTGCTCAGCGAGGACATCTGCGAAGACAGGATCTTCAAGGTATGTCGGGTTGATAGCTCCAGATCCAATCGTGATGTTCTTCTTATGCGCCTCTTCTCTTAGCGATGTAGTGCCGGTGCTGGGGATCGCGATGCTCGCTTTGACGGCAGTAAGGAGTAACAAAGTGGTTGTCATGGTACCGAGAACTTTGAAACTTTTGCTGAAGGCCATCTTGCCAGGTTCGCGTCGTTCGTATCGTTTGCGCTGCTTGATTTTGGTGCTATGTGCCTACCGTATCGGAAGGATCGAACGATATATATGAATGAAACACGAGTCTTGTCATGGCTCATCCACTGGAGCATCTTGAGGTCGGAAAATAGTACCATACTCGTCGACGGCACTTGCCAGACAACGATAGTGTACCTAGGAGGACGTAGCGTACCTAGAATGGCGATAGTTCAGACGTTCTCAAGGTCGTGCGTGGTGTTGCACAGCCACTAGGCAGCTGTAGGGTGTGTATAGGGATAATCCCATGTGTTAGATCTACTGACCTAAGCTAAGGAAGAATGGGACCCATACATACCCGGCATTTGCCATCCTTGGCATCACGTGACAGCAGCGCTGGCCGAGTTGTGCAGCTAGTACAAGGTCGACCATACTAGCAAGCTTGGTAGCTTTTCATCGGCAACCAAAATTGACTTTGACAAGTTGGCGCTGATTGGCTGAAACCGGGATAATGGCGGCGGTCACTGCTCGGTGAGGCAACACACCCCTGCAAAAGCTGTGCTCAGCTCCAGACAATGACAGTGCACATGCTTTTTGAACAAATACGCATACGCAGACGCATGATACACTTTAGTGCTTTCTTTAGAAATCGTCACATATGTCTCGTCACTCTTTTCGGCAGGCCATCCACTATCATTACTTCTTTCTTACACATTGAATACTCCTCATCGACATTATGGAACCGGAAAAAAGGCTTTCGAATTTCGCCGAGCTACCTGGTGATATACCGACAGATCACACGTCCACAGGCTATGAAAATATAGAGATGAATCGTGATCGAAAGGCGATAAGTCGAAAGCTTATAAATCGCAGCAGTTACCAGGAATCTTCTTCGATCAACGCATCCGCGGACGCACCCGATGATGGGAAGCTCAAGACCGGCAGTAAGACTCCCGGTTCCTCGATTCATTAGTTGATTTGAAACTCATGTTTTCTAGGCGATGGACGCGTCAACATCGATCTGAATTCGAAAGCTGTGAGGACGCTTTCGCTTCTCTATGGTGATACTCTTAACGACATACCGGAAGATGCGCCACCAGAGTATTCAGAATTCCCAGTTGGGCAGGATCGCTACAAGTCTTGGCCTGTTAAGCTAAACATTGTCATCCAAGTTGTAGGCAGTCGAGGAGATGTGCAGCCTTTCATCGCGCTTGGTGACGAGCTTCGGCGGTATGGGCACCGAGTGAGGCTAGCGACCCATGACATGTTCCAAGATCTCGTGCGAGGCTCCGGTTCTGGACTAGAATTCTACCCAATCGGCGGTAATCCTTCAGAATTGATGGCTTACATGGTCAAAAACCCTGGACTGATTCCTAGTCTCGAGAGTGTGCGTGCTGGTGAGATCAAGAAGAAACAGTTGATGGTCAGGGAGATGCTGGAAGGATTCTGGAGGTCATGCATCGCACCAGACATGATGAGCCATGAGCCATTCGTGGCAGATGCTATCATTGCCAACCCGCCAAGCTTTGCACATGTTCACTGCGCACAAGCTCTTGGAATTCCTGTTCACATGATGTTCACTATGCCATGGACAAGTACGCGAGCATTTCCACACCCGCTAGCGAACCTGAAAAACGCCGAAGGAAAACAAAGCGCTGCAAATTATCTATCATACGGAGTTGTCGATTGGCTAACATGGCAAGGGTAAGTTATTCATACAAGATCGACATAGCATTCCTCGTTCCACAGACTTCATGATACTGATCTCGAATCCAGACTTGGCGACGTTATCAATCAATGGCGCCAGACGTTAGACTTGGAGGAGGTTGGGATGTTCGATGGCCCTAGTCTTGCGAACACACTGAGCATCCCCATGACTTACTGCTGGTCTCCGGCTCTTGTGCCGAAACCCTTTGACTGGCCCGGCCACATAGACGTCTGCGGTTTCTTCTTCCGGGATCCTCCTCGGTACGAGCCACCAGCTGAAATTCAATCCTTCATCGATAGTGGGCCGCCACCTGTCTACATAGGCTTCGGCAGCATTGTTCTTGAAGACCCTCAAAGAATTACAGCAGTCATATTAGAGGCTGTAAGGGCGAACGGATTTCGTGCTATCGTATCCAAGGGATGGTCGAAGTTGGGAGATCACGGAGAGTCTCATGAAGATATTATCTTCATTGGTGATTGTCCACACGAGTGGTTGTTTCAACATGTGGCGGCAGTGGTACATCATGGTGGCGCTGGGACGACTGCATGTGGTTTGCTGAACGGTAAGCCTACCACTATCGTGCCATTCTTCGGAGAGTAAGTGAGACAGTCCACTGTGTTGAGTTGGCGGATATGCTAATAAATCGATAGTCAACCATTTTGGGGCCAGATGGTAGCTGCTGCTGGTGCTGGTCCGATGCCTATTCCTCAGCGGGACATAACTGCCGAAAGCCTATCTCAAGCTATCAGATTTTGTTTGTCACCTGAAGCAGCGAGCGCGGCTGCAGTCATTGCACAGAAGATGCAAACCGAGAGAGGCGTCGAAGCTGCAGTTATGTCTTTCCATCGCAATCTCCCTATCAGAGACATGGCTTGCGATGTACTGCCACACCTTCCAGCAAGTTTCGGTTTTCACAAGAAAGGGCACAAATGGAAGCTTTCTTCTTTGGCGACAGAAGTTATGGCACGGAAACTTCCGAAAGATGCCAAAAATCTAAAGCTGTACGCTTCGCCCTTATCATTCCATGCTTCGATGAGCATTTTCTGCATCCGATCGCTAATTTGTATACAGATACGAGAGCAAACCCATTACTATAGAGCCTCGTCGATGGGATCCCATCTCAGGGGGAGCGTCCGCAGTGCTTGCCACTTCGGTCGATCTTGCGTCATGCGTTACAGGAATTTTCACGAAACCAATAACGGAGTATCGAGACGATCGCGACCGACGCGCCTACGAAGAATCAAAGCTAGAAGCCTCGGAAGCTTCCAATACCAGTGCCAACCATATCGACCAATCGGCACCAATTTCTGACAGCGCAAGTGCTGAGACATCAGCAAGCAGCGTTGTTCCGAAACGTAAAGCCATCTCAGCAGGCCAATTGGCAGGTGCGTCGGGAGCGAGCATTGGTATGTTTGCCCCAAAAGCCCTGAAGGGTATGATGGTCGACATTCCTCTCGCAATTACCGATGGTCTCAAGAATGTGCCTCGGTTCTACGGCGAAACGCCTCGTGACCATGGACCTGTGACAGGTTTTACGAGTGGCGCAGCTGTTGCAGGCAAGACCTTTGCGTGGGGTTTCATGGAAGGTGTCAGCGATATCGTTGTAAAGCCGTACCAAGGTGCTCGAGAGGAAGGCTTTACAGGCGCTGCAAAAGGCGTGGGCAAAGGAATGTCTAGCATGGTCACAAAGACCGGTGCTGGCATGTTCGGTCTCCTTGGGTATACAAGCCAAGGTATCGCGAAAAGCTTGAGATCGACAGTCCACATGAAGACCAGAAAAAGCATTGCTGAAGCGAGACATACAGAGGGAAGATGGTTAGTCGAGAACGACAAACATAACACGGAAGAGGCTGAGAAGATCATCACGCGTTTGCTAGCACGGAAAGGGGAGAAGTAATGAGAATAGAATGGGAGCGTGGAATAAAGTTTCCTAGGAACCGGCCAACACGATTTGCGGCAGATATTGACATAACTGCCTCACTACCTGGCTTTGAACAAAGCACCGTTATGCTAGCTGCCAGGGTAGAAAAGAATGGATGTTCACTTGATGGAGATCAAAGGTATCACAGCCAGGGCCAGAAGCATCTCGAAACTATTGTTGAAGTTCAGGCTGAGTCCAAATTTGAACGAGAAAGAACTGTCTCAAAGTAGTTCGCCTTTGCATCAACTATTCGTTCACTCGCATTGCTGCCTGACTGGCCTTACGCGCACCAATCTTTGCCAAGTGCTCGATATTGGTCATTCCGGACAAAAGAAGTTTCCTAATACTTCTATCTCGTGTCCCTAGATTGAGTTCTTGTGGAATGTGCGTACATGATGGACTGAATCTCTGCGTGGGAGGGAACGGGATGTGTTGGCGCAGCAATCCATGTCAATGATCCGTTTTTGCAAGCTGATCCAACAAAAAGAGAAGCGCGCATGGTTTTGGGATATCATGGGTGTTCTGCCTCAGGTTTCCAAGCGACATGGGGTCATTGTGCTCAGCCACCACATATACACACACAGCCCCATCACGAATACCATGAATCTCTATTTCTCTTGCCCTCTCCACCTTTTAGCATCTTGTGTGAACAATCCGTCCAAATCCCAACAGCAGCGACAAATTCAACATGGCATCAAAGTTGCAAACAGAGGAAGCTCGCGCTGCACTGTAAGTCAATCCACAGCACACATTTCTCTCTCACCTAACACCAAAACAATCAAGTCTCACGCACACCACGCAACAATCACCACTTCTCCGCCTCCCAGCCGAACTCCGCAACCAAATCTTCACCCTCGTCCTCCACCACCCACAAATCGACCTCTTCGTTTCGCCCACAACGGCAAAAGGAACAACAACAACAACCATGCGAGCCAGCCACCCCACACGCACCAACTGCATCGGCCTCCTACGCACATGTCGCCAAACCCACGCCGAGTCCAGCTCGCTACTCTACGAACTAAACGTCTTTACCATCCGAGCTACGCACGCCACGCACCTCGTTGCCTTCCTGGCGCGGCGAACAGCTGCGCAGATCGACGTCATGGCGGAAGTGCAATGGAAGCCGGCTCTAGATGTCACGGGGGTTCATGCGTGCTCGGCGGTGGAATGGTTGGATATGACTGCGAGGGAAATTGACCAGCTGGAACGGAATCGGCGCCAGCGAGAGATTGAGGAGAGGAGATTGAGCGCAAGGGCAAGAGGGAGGTTGTATGGATATGAGGGAAGGTGACCAGTTGGAACGGAATCGGTGTCAACGAGAGCGGTGAGGATTGTTCAGATCGAGCTTGTGCGGCAAGTGGAATGGAGGAGCATCGGTTTGGTTTGCTGGAAAGAGTACCGACGGCTGAATAGGGTTGATTTACCAAGGGAGAGTTGCGTCAACTGTCAGCGTGGTAGTCGATGGCAGGTTATGGTAGCGCTGGTACATACTCTTGAGCTTCGTTGCATCATGGTGGTACTAGCAAATGAGCGAACAAAAATGTCGTTAAAAGACAAAAAGACGATTTGCAGAGTTCAAGAAGCTTCACGAAGAATATTTTCATCAAGAAACTACTAAACCCTCATTTACCAAGATGCCGATATTCAGGCTTTCTCCCCTGTCTAAGAAGAACGCCGAATGAACCAGCAAAAACAAGATAGTGATGCCTTGCTAGAAAGTTAAAGAAAAAAAAAGAAACTGACTGAAAAGGGGAAAAACCACAGTCCTCGTTGGTATCGCAGAAGGCTTCCAATGCAATCGGGAAATGCACAACTCCACCACGCCCAACATTCCCCAGCCCACCAGTTGTAATAACCTCATGCTCTCATAACATCATGCACACTCTACTCCAGCTACTCCAGCTACTCCAGCACACACCTCTTTACTGAGACGCACACTGCACGCGCTCAGCTCCCGGGTGCATATCATCATCATCCTCATCCATGCCACCCATTCCCCTCGCCCTCTGCCCCTCACCACCCGCATCCACATCCTCGAGGGTAAAGTCCTCGGTCATAGCATCAGCAGGGGGCATAGCCTCTGGCACCTTCCTTGGCGGTAAGACGCTTTCGAGAGCGCGAATCTGCTCGGGGCTCATCGGGCCTCCATCCTCGTTGTTACCAAGGCGGTCCGGGAACTTGACGTCAAACTGAATGTACAAGTTACCAAAGTCGTGGTGGCGGTACGACGGCATACCCTGGCCGCGGATGACCTTGACTTCGCCGGGGGAAATGCATTCACCGGGGATGATGTCGACGGTTAACCAGCGCTCGTCAAGGTGCTCAATGTGGATTTGGCCACCAGCCAGCGCGGTGAGCAGGTCGATTTCAGCGTGGTAAAAGAGATCGTCGTCTTTGCGTTGGAACCTGGCGTGGGGTTTCTGCTCAATCTCGAAGACGACATCGCCTGGTTCTACGCCAGGCAGCTGGTCGCCCTCGCCGCGGAACTCGATCTTGTGGCCCGACTTGACGCCGCGGTCGACGTGTACGTGCAGGACTTTTCGCTCGATAATCGTCTTCTTGCCGTTGCACTGCTTGCAGCGGTCCTTGTCGCGGATGATTTCTCCTTCGCCCTGGCAGTCGGGGCAGACGGTCTGGAAGCGCTGAATCATGGGGCCCATCTGGCGCATCATGTGCTTCATACCGCGGCCGTCGCAGCCAGCGCACTTCTTAACAGCGCCGTCCTTGCCGCCGACGCCGTGGCACTTGGGGCAGATGACGGATTTCTGGAGTGCGAGCTTGGACACCTTGCCGCGGTAGACATCCTCGAGCGAGACTTTGTGTACGTGGCTGATTGTGCGGGCTTTCTTGGGGCCTTGTTCGCGTCCGCCGCCCATGCCGCCGCCGAACATGCCGCCAAAGGGACCGCCGCCGCCGCCGAAGAATTGCGCAAACAAGTCCTCGGCTGCCATGCCGCCACCTCCTCCCATGCCGCCTTGCTCAAGGCCTTCCTCGCCATATTGGTCGTATATTTGGCGCTTCTGCGGGTCCGAGAGAACTTCGTATGCGTGGGAGAGGTCCTTGAACTTGTCGGCGGCCTCTGGGTTGTGGGCGTTCTTGTCGGGATGCCACTTGAGGGCTCCCTTCTTGTATGCCGTCTTTAGTTGGGCCTCGGAGCAGTCTGGTGCTACCTGTTGCTGTTAGACCATGCCCTGTGCGAGATGCCGTGTAGACGAGGCTGGCTTACCCCCAGGGTGTCATAGAACTTTGTGTCTTTGACCATTGTCGCGGTTGGTGCGTGTGCGGTGGTGATGCAGACGAGGGGCTAGTGGGGTCGTAAAAGTCCAGTTGAGGGGCAGGCGGGACGGGTATCAGGTTGTTCTGTGGAGAGGGCGAGTCGCTGTGTCGAGGAGAATCTTTATACTAGTCAGCAATGAGCCTCGGGGCGAGAGTTGTGCAAAGTAGTCGCCCAGCTGCACGTCAGCCTTGCGGGTGAAAGAAGGCGCAGCTAACTCGTCGAAGCGACGCGGACAGAGGCAAAAAAGCGCTTACCAAAGAGTCGCCGTGGAAGTCAGTAGCGGGACAGCAGGTGAAGGAAACTGATTACGACTCGAAAGCAGTAACGTGTGTATATTGAATGCGAGCTGGGGGCGACGCTTGTAGACTTAAAAGTAGTAACCAGGATGTTGCAAATGCACCGGCTGCGCCGAGCGAGAGAAGATTCCAAACAATTCCATGCCCTTCCATGGTCCCTCAACAGCCCAAGATTGCCTGGAAGCGGTCGACTGCCTGCCCAAACTACGCAGTTAGCCCCACAGCTTCCAAACCCACACCAGAAATCTGCCATCACCATGAAAAATGCACTCGAGTCTGCCAAAACATGTGTTTCTAGCTGTGCATTCCTCGGGAAGCTTCGACGAACTTACGCTCGGACTTCTTTTGGCCGGGCCAATCACGTCGAGGGCTATCAATAGGGCTCTTATCGCCGAAGATTGGCGAAGATCCGACCCTGACTTGCATCGCGGAATTCCGGCATCAGCCACACGTTAGAATTTGATTTTGATCACTAGTCACTAGTTGAGGCTTGTACAATGTACCTGTTCCTGAGGCAGAAATTCTGGGCAAAAGCCGACGATACATCATTGTGCAGCATCAGCAAAATCTGCCTCACACACTTCGGCACGTGATTCTTGGCACACAGTGTCAATGTGCATCGATGGCGCTATCGTTGCGCGAAAGAGCCCCGAGATGTAAGAAGTATCATTCATCGTATTGCGAGTTACAAAAAAGTGAGCATTCACACAAATGCTCACCCTGCCCATGCATACCATCGTGCCCAATTAATGTAAAGTGTTCACCTGACAAAGGGAATGAAAAGAATTAGCAACATCTGTATGTACTACCAAGGAAGACTGATTGATAGCAGAAAGACGTGGAATAGTCACGAAATCCAATACTCCCGTTCCCTCCACATCGAGAGAAAGAACAGGTAGCGATCAGAACAACGCTTCTTTTCGCAACCAAGATACTTGAACCAGTAGGACCCAGTCGCTCGACTAGTGCCTCCAAACGTTCCGAAGACACGCATATCCTCGATAGCCCGCAACTGCTGCTTTGTTCTCGCCTCCAGGAACTTACGAATGGGGGCCGTGAACCCGAATGAGAAGGTGGACAGCTTGTACGGCAACAGAGCGCATTCCGTATGGAGCTGGCGGGAGACGAGGAGTAGATTCATGTTATGAGTTGCCATTTGGCAGCGAGAATTGTAGAACTTGTAATGGGTGCTGCCAAAGACGTAGTCGTATACGACGTTCCTCAACTCGGCGGGAAGGCGGAGAAAAGGGAAATGGGGAGCCTTTGAACTCTTACTGGATACAAACTGTCAGCTGAGAATCGGGCAGATAAAGAGTCAAGAATCTTACACTCGGGTATGCTTGACCGCGTCTTCAGTTCCAGATTCTTCGCGCTTTCGTTTGGCCATGTTGATTGGCGCTTACTTGCTGTGTTCGAGAAATGAGCGTGGGGAGTAGTTGAATGTGAGACAGAGGAGAAGAGATCTGGGAGAAAGAGCAGAGTTGATATACACACGAATCACTCTTGGTAGCTGCCTAGTGGGGGCGACTGTGACTGCGACTTTCTCTCCCCTTTGGTTTTGGATTTCACGGCGTCCATGAGACGCTGATAAGCGCGGAACACGGAACAGAAATGACTATTAGCATGCACGTGAGATCAGTTTACGCATTGAGAGGAAAGAGTGAACGTCATGGAATTCATTCGAGTCATTCTCGTGATCAGAGACGTGTCGTCAGCGGGTTTGAAACGCACTGATCGCTGTTTACTGGTCCCCCATAGACAGGCTCACTCCAGAGCCAGCTGCTTGGAAGATGCGCAAGACCAAGATTCAACGACATCCAGCTGTGCAATCCAGTACCTTCCGCTTCCCCACCTCTCCATCCGGCCTCCAAGGAATCCGAAGCACGCGGGCCGCTTGTAACCAAAAACTCCGATGTGGGATAGTGCCTCGATCTGCGCCCTTGATCTCTGTTCCAGGAACCCCATAAAGAATTTCAACTTTTGCAATTCGGAATTACGTGGGTGGATATTAGTTCCAAAGCGAAACACCCCAAGCTTGTACGGAAGTGTGGCAGTCTCATAATTGAGTTGGCGAGACACGTAGAGCAAGCTGAGATCCACAGTGTCCTTGGGTGGCCCCATCGCCTTCCTGTATTGAAGCTTCACAGCTTTGCTTGGCTGATGATCGATGAGTGTGTAGCATGTTCCGACAAAGACGTAGTGGTAGACCATATTTCTAACCTCAGCGGGAAGGCGGAGGAAAGGGAAGACATTCGATTTGACGCTGGGAGGTTTCGTTAGCAGTAAGACCGACGATTGCATAACAGAATTCTACCTCTTCTTCTTCTTTGTTTTCTTCGCAGTGGACGCATCACCGGAGGGCGAAGCAGCGCGCTTTTGACCAGCCATGTTGACTTGCTCGGATTGTTCGGCCAGCAAATATAGAGGACGGGTGGAGAGAAGGAGAGAAACGTAAGTGACAAAAGCTGGGCTGTTTATATACCCACAGGAGAGCTCACTAGTGGTTGAATATTCGAGGTGAAGGTGAGCTTCGAAAAACACTCTCTCACCTCACCTGCCACTTTCGACCACCGCCACCCAGAATGCAGGCCGTACACATCTAATGCGATGCTGTCATCCCAGACATCTACAAGGTCTCTCATGACGCCTTCCAGAAGAGGCCGCTGTTGTCGCCTTACATCAGATAGGCTCAATGTCTGCTACTCTCTTACTCAAGTTGACTCTATCCATCCGACTAGTCAACTATTCTGTGCGTAAAGTCAGCCTTATAGTACATCCTAGCACGCTGAGGCGGAGGAGCTAGGTCCAAAGAGTCATCGGGCGTACTCGTAATGCAAAAGGAGGGATGATCGGAGAGGGTCGTCTAAACAGCACTTGGACTGAACAACGACCAACCACCTACTCCACTCGCAACCAACCAACGATGGAATCGCAATCCCAGCGTCGAGTACCCGCTTCTGATACAGAATACGCGAGATACTTTGCTATGACGCTTAAAGAGATACCAGAGGCTATCGTATCTAGTTATACCAAGGCTTCGGTCGAATCGTAGTTACCTCTGAAGCTATTCGGACCGCGTGCACTAATAATCACCGAGATTCTGCGGAAAGCATAGTAGTTGGCATAAGCTTAGCGTCTGATACGTACGTAACGCATCCGATTGCCCCGAGCAATTCGACATCAGCATCTAGCGCGTCCGAATGAATCGACTATGATTACTATCCTTGAGCGTACATATATGTATTTGCATATGTATCTCAGCAGACTGAGTTTCGTCTCCCAATTCAGCCTTCGACAAATCATCACACTTTGTCCAACTATATTCTTCTTGAATCAAGCTCACAATGAGAGTATTGGTCCCCTTCACCGTCCTCGCCCTATTCGGCTCAACTGCATTCGCGCAGTGTCAACCCGACGGCGGAATCGGTTTCAATGTGAACACAGGGGACCTCAATTCAGTCCGCTGCTGCAGCGGCTGCGGATGGAGTAGTTGTCGTCTCGGAGATGTATGTGTTACTCTGATACCAGAATATAAGTCCTTCAGTTCTAACCTTGTTCGTTGCAGTCACGGGGAACACTTTATTATTGCCCCTCGGCTTCAGGCAATACATGTAACTTACAACCCAGCATCTGTGGATGATTTCGGCAATCTTGCGGGAAAAGGAAATGAGGGGCAGGGGGGTTAAAACGATGTAGTGTTTCTTGTTCTTCTTCAGTGGCTCAATCACACTGCTGTAGAACTTGCATCAATATGAGAGGACCTCTCATAAATCTACGGACGGAATTAAAGAAAAGAACCATCATAGGATGAAGATACTTGAGCCTGCAACTTCACGTGGCATGTTACGCAATCAGCACTGCTAATGATCATTCATGTGCTTTGCTCATCCTCCATAATCGTGCCTCATTCCCCGAACTCTACCCAACTTTCCATTCCCCATGTTCTTGCCCCAGCAACAACAACAGCCACCTACCCCATCCATCTCTCAACACACGGCACCCACAAACCCCCCTCCTTACCTTCCCCTCCCTCCAAAAACTCCCCAACCCGCCAACACCTCCCTCTCCCCCCAAAACATCCACTCCCCCTCCCTTCCCTCCCCATACTTGCCCAACCCCTCTCTCCTCCCCCTCTCCCCCAACTCGCCCCACCTCATCAACAAATTCCCATCCAGCACACCCCTAGCCCCCGTACCAGCATCCCACCCCCCTTCGCTCGTCGTTATCGAATTGATCGAGTGATCCGCAGCGGAGCGGAAGGCGCGCGGATTGAGCGAAGCAGGTGAATCGAGAGTAGAAGCGAGGAAAGAGGCGAGATTGCTGAGGCGGCGGTAGGAATCTTCTGTTAGTGGGGTGATGAGGGCGAGAGTCCCTGATTGGGATGTGTGTAGGATTTGGTGGAGGAGAGGGTGTTTTGTGTTGCTGGGTTTGGGTGCATTAGGGGTGGCGTTGTCATTGTCGTCGCCGTCGTCGTCTTCATCTTCATCGCCGTTGTTTTCATTGTCCAATGGGTCCTGCGTGAATGTATCGGTTGTTGATGGTAAGGCGAGGTGGGATTGGACGAGATGCAAGGATGTGGGGAAGTGGCCGGTGTGGAAGGTGGATTTGTGCAGCAGGCGGGAACCAGCTTCTGATTTTGGATCTATGACGCGTCAGTGATCTGGTATTTAGGGAAAGGAGAGAGAGAAAGAAAAGGAGATGGAGAGACGGGGTAGGGAAGATGGCGAGGTGGTGAGCACCCCACCATCAACCCAAAGGGAACGTACTATCGGGATCAAACTGCAGCACTTGCAGATTCATATCCGCATCCGCAACCACCAAATGCAACTGCTGATCAAACGGCAAAAACTCCACCGCCATGGCCTCGAGATTATGCTTTGACCTTGCAAAAAGGGACATTTTGTACGGTTCTTCCTGTTCCGGTTATCAGCACTGTAACTTCACCACCTAGTCGTCGATACGACCAAAGGGAAAAAGGAAACTTACAGTATACCCCGTGAACCAAACCCCTCTCCACGCATCCGCCATGGCCAGCATGCCCGTTCCAGGCAGATTCTTCAGATCCGTGACGTAGCACTGCATATCCATAAAGGCGACGGGAAGCAACGTCCCATCTTCCTTGAGTCCTCTCACCATGCATTTCTGTCCCTGAGCCATGATCAAAAACCCTTGGGTTCCCAGCCCACTAACGGCCGAAACCGCCCCCTTGACCTCGTCCTTGACAATCAATTTAAGCCGCTTATTCGTTTCCGGCCGGTCGGGCTCGGGCACCACGGTGATGACTTCGAAAATGCGAATGCACCCCTTGGTCGCGAGATCTTCGCCGTGCACAATCGACGTACCGACTGCGACCAAGTCTTTCCTCTGATGACTCTGTTCGCTGACCTCGAGATTGATCGTGTTGATACACAAGACGACTTCCTGGGGATCGAGCACGTGCGTGTCGATTATTGTCCAGGATTTCTCGTCGAGAAGCTTGACCACGCCGCGTTCGATGGTGGGTTTGAAAGACATGTCTTCCTTGGGGAGGTCGTAGTGGTAGGTTTCGCTGGGGTCGAGCTGGTATTCTTCATGTTGGCCGGTGCCGACAATGTAGAGACCAGAGGGATGATAGGCAAGGGCATGGACGTCTGCGTCCATGGGCATGCGTCGGGTTGCCCATCCGAGGTGTCCGTAGTGGGTGTCGGATGGGAGTTGCGCGATGCGGAGCGTGTCTGTAGAATCTAGGTATGCAAATCCACGAGCGCAATTCGCTGTGTGAAAAGACGTAAGACTTTTGACGGGCTTACCGCTGAGACCGATGACACGCGGTGCGCTGGAGGACTCCTTGAAGATGAATGCAGGCGTTGTGCCGCGCTGGAACACGGTGCTGTACCCGGTAATGTCGGTGATGGCTGATAGTGTGCTTTTGAAACCTCCGTCTTCTTCGGAGCTAGTGTCTTCGATATATCGTGGGACGTGTTGTTGACTTAGCTTAACCCAGCGGAGGTTTGTGGTCCAGAGATCTGTTGACGATCGCGACGGAGAGTGGAACGCTTTGTAGATGACGAGGTTGTCGTTTGATGTCCTGATGATGAGGTGGGGACACTTGCTCGTCGCATCGCCCAGGTCAGCGGCTAGGATCTCGGTGATGGTCGCTTTAATTGCGCTGCGCTTGGGTACGTAGTCCAGGGCCAGCACTGGTGGGAGGAAACTCAGGGCTTCGGCAACGTAGCACGGTTTGGACAGGTCTGACATGGCGAATACGCGCAGTCCGCCTTCTGGTGTTAGCAGGAAGGCAAAGACTTCGGTGAAGCTTGAGGATTTGAACAGACTGGCAGACAGCCATTGAATCCCGGACAACCCTGTTGCTTCGACATCTTCCAGCTCGCCATCACCTGTAGCCTTGAATATCTTGACGCTAGAGTCTTCGCGGAGGATCAGTAAGTATGGATCCGCGAAACTGGCGTTGATGACGGCGAGTTCGTTGCCACTTTCTTCGTCTTCCATGGGAAGAATCTGATCCATGTTGAGTTCGGAATCGTAGGTTCGGACCTCTGTGCGCATGACTTGGACAACCTTGGTTCCCTTGGCCAGAACCCCTACGTCCATGGTGCTTCCTTCCTCCCTTTCGAAATCACCTTTATCGGTTTCTGACAGTTCATTGCCATTCACTTCGTAGACAACTGTACTTTCAGTACCGTCGTCGCTGGTCCTGCTAACGACAAGATACTGATCATAATCTACATCACTCGCCAGGTTCGCTTCGGCATCCTCGCCAAACGCCGCCGTGACATCACCGGGAGCTGCCTTTCTCGCATGTACAGCCCATACACCATGCGCAGATGGAAGCTCCATGGTGGCAACACTCACGGGATGAAGCTCGCGGTTCAGCGCTGTAATGGCACCAGCCTTGCCCCTCCCGGTTGAAAGCATGATTTCACCCTTGTTCAGGGACTCGGTGTCTTTGCCAGGGTGCAGAACAGCGGCTTTGATGGGGGCTATACTGGGTAAGACGTCGTGGACACGGAAGGTGTACGAGCCTGGCGCCGTTGGTTCGGACACAGCGGCTGTGATTTTCTGGACTGCGGGTGCGGTATCGTTGTAGAGGTCATCTTCCATATCGTCATCGCCGTCCTCGTCATCAGACATGTCTTGGTCGGAGTCGGCGTCAGCAGTCGGTTGCTTACGGCGGAGTTGGCTGGACGTGCCAGTCCAGCCCAACATTACTGATTCCCCGTCTTCGCTTCCGACAAACAAGCGGCCGCGGCCCAGATTGGCTGTGCACGATGCAGAAGTCTTGAGAACATGGCCGCCGTGGTCTGAGGATACGGTTTGTATGGTCATTCCTGAGACTGTTCGGCCGTCGAGCGTAAACGTAAGGATCAGGATGCGCCCATTGTTGAGCACAATCATCACATCACCAGTATCCTGGGACAACAGCTCAACCTGACATGCTTCCAGCCGCAACGCCAGATCAGACTGGTCGCTGAGGGGAAACGAAGTGCAGGCCTTGGCGAACTCGTTGACAGCTACGCCATTTGTCTTTCCTCCCTGGTCAACATGTATAATCTCGTTGGCTCCCACCAACAGAGCGCCCCCGATGGGAGACGGTAGGGGGACTACTTTTGTGATGTCATAAGGCAGTCCAGAGACTGAGAGAAGGGTCGTGGACGCCTTTTGTTCGAGGTCGAGGGTAAAGACGGAGTAGGTCAGAATGTCTTTGCGATGAGCGAGCAAGGAAGGGGCGGTCTGGCGCGAGGCGGCGACGATGCCAAAGGTGGGTTCGCGGTACTCGTGCAGGAAGGCGAGGTGAACGGGGTGTGTGAGGGTGGGGTCGAGGTTGGTGAGTGGGAGGACGAAAGACGAGGAATAGGGCGTCTTGTGCTCCGCTTTCAGGGCCGTCTCCTTGGGAGCGTCGGCATCGGAATCATAGTCATCTTCGACAAGATCACGCTGGCGAAAGGGCAAGATGGCGAGGTTGTGGGTGCCAAACTTGAGGGCGGCGCATCTGCTGCTGGGGTCTGCCGTCAAGAAGTTGTACGTGTCTTTGAGATCAGCGGACCAAGGTGCAATGCCGGGCAAGTCTGGGTTCTCATAGTAGTGTATTGATATTGTATGGAGGTTGTAGCTCTCCGGGTCCCACTCTACCAAACTGAGCTTTGCATCCCGAAAGGCCACCAGCAGCGCCTCGCCCTTGCTCTTTGTATTGAGCGCTTTTACGCGTGCTAACGATATGACTGTGCCGGCAAGCGGGAATTCCCCAACCAGAACCAGCTTGGCCGTGTTCTCGGTGCGCTGCAATGGCACATCGGCCGCCTCTGTGTCGAGGTTTGCGGCTGCATTTTCCGACTCGTTCCCTCCGCCCGGCGTGACCTCAGTGGTGGTGGATTTCAGTTCGAAGATCTGGAGGAGCGAGTTCTTTGCGACGACTAGGTTGTTTGATCTAGAGTGCAGGAAGGGGAGGTTGATGGCATGGCTCACGGCCGTGGGCGGGGCTATTTCAGTGTAGCACTGCATGATGGGGGTGGGGGATGAAGGTGCCGGCGACACTTGTCATGGCAGTGGTGTGAGTGCAGCGGTGGTGAGTATGGTGAGTATGTCGTGAGTACGTGGTGGGTACAATTGATGGCTGCACGTCGCGTCAAAGAGCTCTCTACGCGCTACTGTACAGTGCACGGTCCAGATAGCGTCCTATCGTTAGCTACAACACCGTCTCCACCACAGATGACTATAAATGACAACGTTGCAACACAGACAGCACCGCAGACAGAGACACCACGTACAGTAGCAGAGGCTCAGCAGCAAGTACACCATCTCCAAGAGCGACTGCGGCGACAGCCAAAGAGTTCAACAAGTATCGCAATACGTCAGCTCGCGAAAAGCGCTCAACTTGCGACGCAATCAGCAACAATACTTATAGAAGAGAATATACTTTCCTCAACAACATCCATCGACTCACACTGATCCATTTGAACATGCCATCGCGTGTCTGCCATAGAAATCGATACCCAAGAGGCGGTACGGCGCTCAGTGATCGTATTCATCGAATAAAAACACATGTTATCCCATTCACAGATCACTCTGGGCGCAAAGCACTCATGGTTTTCGATGGCTGGGTGTCCTGCCCGCTCCCGCCGCTTTTCAGTTTCGCCATCTACTTCACACAAATGACCCCGGAGACTGTGAAGCCGGTTGAGCTTTTCAAAGCTATTAAGCGCAGAACGCCGTACGACAACACAGGGTGTCCGATCCGTCTGGAACTCTACTTTCTTCCTGCGTCCGACGTGGATAGCAGTGTTGACGATGAGTGTATTGCTCATTATCGCAAAGAGAAGGCCGCCCGGGGACATTATACACGTCAAATCCAACATGTCGAGGAGACCGCACAGGAAGATTATACACGTCAAATACAAGATATGAAGGACTCGGCCTCGGATGATGATACTGAAGAGCAGCAGTATGGCAACGACCGAGCCAGACAACTACCTGGTCTAGTGCCTAGCTATATCGATTATCACCTTGGTGACTATCATCACGGGACTATCTTCCGTTATTCAGGCGCAGATTGGTCCACAGACAAGAGTCCAGCACGCCGCATTAAATTTGATCGAATTTCCGAGGAAGAATATGCTCGCGTAACGGAGAGAAATGATGAATTTCATCGCGTACATCCGGTAGAGGTTTCTTCTATGCCGTTCCAGGAGAGCGACGCTACTTATGAGGGGGAGACATTTGTGGGCATAGCTATGTTTTACGCTGCACATGGGCCAACGGAAAACGAGACTAATCACCCCTGGTCAGAAGCGCGGGACCGAGCCTGGAAGTCATGGTGATGACTCTTCTGTTTGCACTTGTTCGCTCTGCAAACCGAGGGAATCTACTCAGCAGTAGTTACATACCACATCAAAGTGTTTTAGAAAGTGTTCCGCTTATATACACGGCTATTGATGTTTGCAGATCGTGCTCCACCAAATTGTATATGCTACAGTCATTGTCTGCGAATCCCTCATCTTAAGAATGTACAAGAGTAACAAATCGTCCATAAAGAATATCCTCGGAATAACCTTGCCTAAGGCCGAAACCCCTACGCATGTCGCGTCAAAGAGCTCTTGCGAGATTCCGTCTAGCGCGTAGAGAGCTCCAGCAGCTTTGACAGGGATGTGGGCAGCGCTAACTACATGGGCCATGATCGACCAAGGTTCCAGGCCGCTAGACGTCATGCCCAAACATGTCGGTCGCAACCTGGAATCCCCTCATCTCAACCACAGCTCAGCTCAAGTGATAGCACGCTGTCACCATGGCGCTGATACAGACCTCGCTCATCTGGGTCGCCTACGCCGTGGCCGTGGCAATCCTCTTCCTCATCGCGTCCACGTTTGTCTATGTCTACCAGAAGCCGCGCGACCGCGCCGCTGCCGTCACCATCGTCTGCATCTTCACCACCCTCGCCCTGCTCGCGACAGTTCTGCTCATTCCCGTCGATGTCGCCCTCGTCTCATCTACTTCCAAATCCAGTCTGGGCCGCAAAAAGGATTGGGCGACGCCTGAAAAGGTCGACAGCATCGTCTACACGCTGCGCATCGTTTACTACACGCTCTACTCGCTCGACGCGATTCTCTGTCTTCTGGTCATCCCGTTTACCTACTTCTGGTACGAGGAGTACGATGAGGATGCCGCCGAGCATGGCGAGCAGACGGCTGGCCAGCGCATTGGAGGAGCGCTGAAATGGACTCTTGGCTTCCTCATCTTCGTCGTCGCCATCTTCCTCGTTGGCTTCTTCGTTCCCTTTGCGAAGCAAGCCAAAGATGACAAGCGCCTCGATCTCGACTACTTCAAGCACCTACTATCCGAGAACCGTAAGCGATAATTGTTTGATGCCACCCCCCGTATACACTAACTCGTCTAGATGGCGAACGCGCCCTATCCTTTGGCCTCGGCTTCCTCATAACCGTCGGCACCATTCTCTTCGTCCTCTACACCGGCGCCGGCATGGCTCTCCTCCCCGTCGCCATGATCAAATCCGCGCCCTCCGTCTCGGCCCCTACCCTCGCCGCCAACACCGCATCCCAGCTAGAGAGCAACCGCGAGCGCCAACGCCAGCTCGAGGGCCGCAACGAAGGGAGCGAAAACGGCCTCGACAGCCGTGACCGCCGCGAACTCGAAGCTCTCGTCCGCGAAGAGCGTACCCTCATCCGTCGCGAGCGTCTTGCTGCTGAATCCTCCGGCCAAGACCGCCATTGGATCGTCAAAGCGTGGATAAAGACGGAAGCCTTTTTCCGTCCTCTCAAGCTCGTTGGTGGACTCATCCTAATGGTCTTTGCCCTTGTAATCTTCGCCTCCATGCTCATCACCGGTATTGACAAGGCGAAAAACTCCATTTGCGGCGCCCACTGCGGCTACATCCTCGGCCACATCAACATCTTCCAGCCGCTAAACTACATCCTCGTCAAGTCCGCCAAGGTCTTCCCCATCGACTACATTCTATTCCTTCTGCTCGTCCTCTTCTTCTTCTCCGCCTCTGTCGTCGGGATCGCGACTGCCGGTATCCGCTTCCTGTGGATTACCATCTTCAAGATCCGCAAGGGACACACTTCGCCTCAGGCACTCCTCATGGCTACCGTCTTGCTGACACTCATTACCCTCGCCATCAACTACTCCGTCGCCATGGTCGTTGCTCCTCAATATGCTACCTGGGGCCCGCAGACGTACTGCGACATGAAGACCAACAGCCACGATGAACAACCCGATTGCACAGAACACAAGGACCTCATCAAGTCGTGCAGCGAACTCGCCACCAATCCCGCTGCCCAGCAAGTCTGCACGCCCTCCGTGCTATCTACTTTTATCAACCGCGTCACCATCAATTTCCCCTTTTTCGGCGTCGTCCTCTTCTGGGCTCAGTTCGCCTTCTTGGGCGTTTACCTGGTCGTCTTCTTGACTACGCTGTTCAAGGCTCCCAGTTTGGATCAGGAACAGATCGACCGTGATTTGGAGGAGGAGGAGGAAGAGGGGCTCTTGGCTAGCACGGGACGGAGGTTTGGTGCTGCGTGGAGTGATGTCACTGGTCGTGCTAGAAAGCCGGCGGGCTATGGCGCGACTGAGAGAGATGAGAGGATTCAGTAAAAGAGTGAGGATGAGAGGATAAATGAAGTGTGTGTGGAGCTTGGGTCGGTTAGCTCGTCTGGTATATATGTTTGTCGATTTTCTTTCTTGTTTTGGTTTCTGCGTTGGTGGATTCTCTGTTTTCTTTTTCTGGTTCCTCAATTTGTATGATACCTGGTTATAGCTGCTAAGCACGTTTGCGAAAACATGATCAAGTACGTTTGCGTTTATATGCTAGAGATGTGTTGAGTGACGAATGTGCGAGACTGCCCTCCCAGAATGATGTGTGGGCGCTGATCATCTCGCCGAAGTAATGGATGATGTCTCACGCATATGATGGGGATACCGTCCTGTGTTGTTTTGGTGACCTGGTTCCATGTAGCTTATGTGGGTACAGCCTTTAGATCTGTGCAGTGTGTTCTCTATAGGACGATATACAAAAGTAGATACTAAGGTGAAGGAGAATTTGTGATGACTAGATCCCTTTTTTCTTTTACCCGCGATAATATATCTGTGCTTTTAGCTAGTACGACCTACTTTTCCATTGCACTTGCTAATTCCTGAGAACTCACCCTAAATCAATTCCGGACAATGTCCCCAAGTATCTACTTCATCTAAAGCTAGTAGAGTAACGCTGCACTGTTTTCAGACGCCGAATGAAGTAACCGATAACGAACGTACAAAGCTTCCACTCATGCTTTTTCTCCAACTGTTATACACCCCCATCTACGTGCTGCAAGTAGCCCATCTCATACGGCCTGTAGTGATCTACTTCATTCCTCTCCCTTTGCCGCACACTTGCAATCCGACTCACTACACCTCTTGCCGCGTTATTTCTTCCATAGTATCGATCTTCATGTTGCTCAGTCGGCATCGTGGTGAAATGGGTACGAATGCTCATTCCTCGTCTCGGAGGCTGCGCCGCTGGTGGCTGCGTGGTGGACTGGTTCATTACTTCTTCATCATTGTCCAGAGTGAGAACCACGTCGAGAGCCTTTTCATCTTCGATAACCTTGGGGTGGCGGACGGCAAAGTATTGGGCGTATTTGAGAATAGACCTATTGGGATGATCAATCATTGTTTATCCGCTTGTATACCAGCCAGGGGGCATTTTTAACTTACCAGTAACAACTCAAAATGTTGACAAAGTTCAGTACAAACTTGTACCACATGTAGTACGCAATGCAGGCCCATGAGACTCTCTCCTTCTTCAAACGGAGATGTATCTCGTTGAACAGAACCGCATTGACGAGATATATTCCAGTGGTAACGCCAGTCATGATCCCGGTAAAAGCAGGATTGATCATGAACGACATAGGTAGAACAAAAGGTGCGAGAACATATAGCAACGTCTCAAAGACCTCCTGGAAGACGAAGATCTTTGTGCCAATCTCCCAGAATCCAAGCTTCCAGGAGAACAGGATGTATGCCATGTTGTAGAAGATTCCGTTCACAAAGAAAAAGTTCCAACGGAAGAAGCGCTGCTTCCAGATTGTCATTTCGCCTGGTAAAAGCGTTAGCCACAATAAAGCAAA